CAAGATTTCAGCTTCATGGGAATCCTTAATTGGTAGCATTAGATCAGTCTTTCCTGTCAGCCACAATTTTCCAATAAGTGAATCCTTTCTGTCATTGTTTGAGAATGGTTCTCAGAAATTGTGCCAATTAAAATATTTTGGAATAAAATAATATTAAGAATAAATTCTAGTTTTATTTCTGACTTGCTAGTAATGGAAATAACTATATAAGGGGAAAAAATCATATTTGAAAACTGTTATTGAGAGTAATAAATTGCTGACAATGCCAAAATATTTTCATGGATTTAAATTGGCACTTAACCAAATAAAAAGCATCTAATCCTGGCATAAATTTTTGATGTTGAATGTAATGATTAAATAAATGGGGTTGTTAAATGTTACAGTGAACTATTCAATACAATTCAAATAATCATTTCAGGAATTCAGCCCAACGTGGCTGTCATGCTATATTGTCATGCTATATGTCATGCCCACAGCACGGAAACTGCTCTGGTCAAGGTCACAAACGAGATCCTGACCATGTGTGACCAGGGCTCCCTCTGCCTCCTTTTCCTTCTCGACTTCTCCGCCATCTTTGTAACTGTGAACCACTCAATCCTCCTCCACCGCCTCTCCTCCCACCTCAACCTTCAAGGTTCTGTCCTTGACTGGTTCAGGTCCTATCTTTCACACCGCCTCCACTTCGTCACAGCAAACGGCTTCTCCTCCAGCTCCCGCACTCTCGTGTAGTGTTCCTCAGGGCACTGTACTCGGTCCCCTCCTCTTCACCCTCTACATGCTCCCCTTGGTGACGTCATCCGCAGGCATGGGGTAAATTTCCACATGTATGCGGATGACACACAACTCTACCTCTCTGCCTCCACCCTGAATTCCAGAACTACTGGCGTCCTGACCGACTGCCTGTCCGACATCAAGTCCTGGACGAGGGCCAACTTTCTCCAACTCAACGTCAGCAAGACCCTCCTGATTGGCTCGCTCCAGCGCCTTCGCACCTCAGGCGTTGGCAGCATCAGCCTTCACAGCTACACACTCAACCTCACTAAACCAGTCAGGAACCTGGGTGTCTTGTTTGACCCTGAACTGTCCTTTCTTCCCCACATCCGCACCATGACTGGCACTGCCTACCACCACCTCTGCAACATTGCCAGACTCCGCCACTGCCTCACCCCTCAGGCTACCAAAACCCTCACTCACTCATTCGTCACCTCAAGGCTTGATTACGGGAACTCTCTACTCATCGGCCTTCCCAATTCTTCCCTTCACAAGCTGCAGATCATCCAAAACTCTGCAGCTCGTGTACTCTCATGCACCAGGCTTCATGACCCCGTCACTCCCACCCTCGCCTGACTCCACTGGCTCCCCATCCCCCAGAAGATCGAGTTCAATATCCTCACCTTTAAGGCCATCCATGGCCTTGCCCCCTCCTAACTCTGACCTGCTGACTCCCTACCAACCTGCCCATTCTTTCTGTTCATTGGGCTCCGGCCTGCTCCATGTCTCGCGCCTGACCTGCCCTATCATCGGTGGCCGGGCTTTCAGCCTCTCTGCCCCAACACTCTGGAACTCCATCCCACGGTTCCTTCACCTCTCTTCCTCCCTTGCATTCTTCAAGGCCGGTCTCAAGACCCTTCTCTTCGACCATGCCCTTGGTCTCCCTCCCACCTCTCTGCTTTCCCCCACCCCTACACCGCTCCTCCCTGGGCACCGACACCTGACTGTTCAGCGCCTTGGGACGTCTTCCCGACGTGAAAGGCGCTCTATAAGTGTAATTTTGTTGTTGTTGTATTGGTGCTATCTACTCTAATCTCATTTCCTTATTTTCTCTACATGCTCTTTATTTACTTCAATTTTTTTGTTTAAATATGATAGTTGTTAGATGTCATCTGGTAGTAACTAATTTCACATCCTTATACAAAAGTTTTCCAATGTTCTTTTGAGAAAAAAATGTAGACAATCTACAGAAAAAAATAGTGTTTTATAGAGATACTTGAAATGATGTATCCACTGAATATTTCCATGTGCTTATACTTAACCCACAGCTTCCCTTCTAAGTAATCTTCTTGCTGCATTCCTTAGTCAAAATTTGATAAGTTGTGGATATGGTGTTTTACTTACCTCATTTCTTATGATCATTCAGCGAAGTGCAGCATTTCACATACCCATCTGTCTTTTATGCTTCTAGCCAGTTTCGGTTCCACATTTAGACATAAAATCTGGTCTTAAGATGTGTGCCAGCAATAACCTACTATACAAGTAGTATTTCCTCATGGATTCCTTTCCTCGAGTTTTAATTGATTTATTACTTCCAGCTGTCTCTGGTGACTTTACTCCCTGACACTGAGCCACTGTCACTTCTCTTGTCCAATTTTAAGGACTATCCTTTACGGAGCAACATTGCTTAAAAGTGAGTCAGAACGAATGGTCAAAAATGTCTGTCTGCAGTTTGCTGGGAGATTTCGGTTTACATTGCAAAGATCTCAAAGGGTTCTGAATTCTCCAGATGTTTTTTTTTGTTTGTGATGCTTTGCTTTATCTTGGGTAATTTGTGAATCACATACCATATTCTATCGCATGTTAGTCTCATAATTTACAAAATGAAACACTGAGTGAATACAACAACAGTGACCTTTTCCAGGGATTTCCACATCAATAGTAAAGGTGCTGAGTGTGAGTGAAATCTCCTGAGTAATGGAGACTGGGGCCCTCAGCAAATATGGCCTTCCCCACGGAAAGATAGCGCTGACATTACTAAATGATCCACCATTGATTTATCCTATCCTGGACACAATGACAAGCAAAGTAGGTTTATGATAAGCTCGTACTAAAGCATCCCCTGAGACTGTTAGGCATCTGTTATTACCATTGCATCAACCAGCATAAGACATGAGGTCACAGTCAAGCAGCTTAGCCTTTTACTCCCGTGTAGACAAATACTCGCAAGCGAGAGACCTGAGTTCAATTCCCGGCAGGGTGAAACCTTGGGAAAGTTTCCTTACTCAACACACCTAATAATAATCCCTTCAAAACCAAAAACAATAATAAATTGGTCATTTTCAATCTACGACTGTTTGTGGGACATTGCTGTGCGCAATTGGCTGCCGCGTTCGCCCACAAATATACAGTTAATTCACTTTACAGTATATTCTGTGAAACGCTTTGGGACGTCCTCCCGATGTGAAAAGCGCTATATCAAATGCAAAGATTATTATTATTACCATCAAACTGTCACCAGCTTTACCAATGTCAATTTTATGCCCATTCATTAGATAATTCTATTTTCTACCCTGACCCTTCTTATCAAAGCTTTTGATGGAGTCCCCCTTTTTTCTTGGACAAGATGAACAATTTTTGTCCAGGAATGCCTTAGCCCCTCCATTTAATTCTTCAAATCCTGTTCTACTCCTGACTGATTCCCACATTATAATTGCAGTAATATGCCCACTGAGGGCAGTTGATCTTAGGTGAGAATTGGAACATAAAATCTATATCTTGCCTCAGTTTTTCCTTTTATAGAAAGTCGGCTTTTATGCAAAAGTTTATTTTATCTTTTGAAAGCAATGTGGAATGAATTTCCTGCTCGCAGAAGTTCAACATTTACTTAAGGAATCTAATAACTCAGACAATGGACTATGACTTGAACCTGGGACCGTCTTGTACATGACAAATTAACTAAGGATGATATGCTGTGAAACTGGGACTGTGAGCATACCCTGGCTTGAACAGTGAGACATGGTATGCAAGCTCAATACTGTATACAGTACTCATTACAGTACTGGGATTTCTATTGCTGCTTGCTTTACAGTGACCCCCCCGCCACCGTAAAATTTGTGTTTCTGGTGTAATACTGTATGTACTATATTTCATTCATTCTGGTCTGACAAATTGCACTCCATGTAATGCAATCTCAGAACTGGAGTATTTCCCAACACCTTAGATTTTTTGGGGGAAAAAAGGGGAAGGGTGGACCTTCCTGTAGAAAAAGAGATTTAAAAAAAATCTAGCGGGAGCCTAATTCACCTCCTGTTTTGATCACATGCATCATATTCATTGGAATCTTAGTTGTTAATGCCACTGTTAGTGTGAAATGTGGTCATATAGACCAAATTGATGCCTGTCTATCGACGACCATATTGGAACCCTTGCAGGTGGCCTCTGTATCTCTGTATGAAAAGCAAACATTGGATGGGATTCCTATTGCTGCTTGCTTTATAGTGACCCCCCCACACCCACTGAAAAATTTGTGTTTGTGATTTTGTAGCTTTCATGGTACTTCTGGACTGGTGCTTGTGTTGTGTCACTTTCAAGGCCATCCATGGCCTTGCCCCCTGTTCTATCCGCCCTACCATCGGTGGCTAGGCTTTCAGCCTCTTTGCCCCCACACTCTGGAACTCCATCCCACAATCTCTTCGCCTCGCTTCCTCCCTTGCATCTTTCAAGGCCGATCTCAAGACCCTTCTCTTCGATCGTGCCTTCGGTCGCTTTCCTACCTCTCTGCCTTCCCTCACCCCTATTCCACCCCTCCCCCATGCTTGTCCCTGACACCTGACTGTCCAGTGCTTTGGGACGTCCTCCCGACGTGAAAGGCGCTCTATAAATATAATGTTGTTATTGTGTCGATGTCGATGAAAGATTCTGGATCCAATCAACATTCAGTTACATATCTTTCTCGCGCCATGATTTGTTTAAAACGTGGGACGTACATAGCCAGTCTTTTTGGAGAATTGCAATGTCTATGACTGAACGGAAGCAGATTCCGAGTGGATTTAGTTCTATGCTTTGTGTTTGTTTTGCAAGATATACATGATGAAGTTATGCCTTTTGCCTTTGTGCTCATTTATATGCAATAAAACCCATTTTGGTAGAACAATAGATGTTCCTCAAACCATTTATTGTACTTTGAAGGCACCTTGTTTTAACTAAAACTTTTCTTAAATTACCTTTTAATGTAGCATTGATCAAGTGCTTTCTTTTTGATTTTTTTTCTTATTACTTTTTTCAAGAAAATGAATCATTCGTTGGAGAATTCAATTCCCTATGAGGAATATTTACGGATGAAGGCACGGACAATACCACAGCATCGCATGAAGGAATTTTTGGATTCCATGAATGGCAAAGGGTCTGAAGAAGTCCAACAGTTTGTACAAACTCCAGTTACAACGTACCAACAAAGAGGACACTACATATACATGGACAGTGCTGATGTTGCAGGATCATTACTAGAGTTGGCTCGACCTATTAGTTCTCCAGTTCAGCAACAGACATCCCAAGGGTCACCAATAGGACAGCAACAGATTCAGTCACACCATGTACAAACTCAACAGACTCACCAATTGGAGGTCCAAACGGATCACCAATCCTTGCAAGCCAAACAAATGCAAGTCCAATTGCAGTCACAGTCCTCTACTGAGGAACCGGCATCTGGTAGTCAGTCAGGCAACTCTACACCACAGCAAGAGAGAAGACCCAGCTCTTCAGGTGTTGCACAGCCTATGAAAAAAAGAAAAATTGATTTACCGATTGAAGATAGTTATACAATGAGTCAGCCTTCGGCACAGAATACAGTGACCACCGTTCTTACATTGCCCTCTCAGGCTCAACAGCAAGGATATATTCCTGTCCGTCAGGAGTTGCTTACAGTGGACAGCAGTCAGCTGTATGGAATAGTTCCAGCTACAACCTGTGGCCCATTGTCCAACACTGAATCATGGACTATATATACTACTCCTGCACCATGTTCAGAAGGTCAAACTATAGTTCATAGTGCAATTCCCAATGAAGGCTGCAATATTGTCCATATTGATGAAATCCCAATGGGTATGACTGGGATCAAATTAGAAGACGACAAAGACAAAGTTCAAATCCTATCCGATGGTGGAAAAAGTATGCAGGATAAAATGATGCATCCATCTGTAACAGCTGCATTCTCAACACAGTTTGTGAATGTGAATGGAAACATTCATATCCCTGTTACAATACAAGCTGGTGGTAGAGCCTATCAATCTTTGAAGTACTGGGATCCACAGCAATTGCAGGTATGATATTTATAGTTATCTTTTTAATTCCATACATAATAGATGGTCCGGGAATGATTTAACATACTTGAGGTATTAGTTACAGGCCTAAGCCAATGAGGAGATTGTGTACTCTTCTGTTTTGTTCCATCCTGTGTTTTAAACAGAAGAATAATGTATTTGAACAAGAGAAAACCTGACACAATCCACAAACTATATTGTCTGTGTCATTACAGTGGTTAGGCCCTCAAAAATGAACAGAATATCATTGTGATATTTCAAACCTACTGTAGATATACACAAAAGTATGTCTTGGAGGAGATTTGTTTTTCCTTCCACAGAGCACTACAGCCTGTTTCTCAGGTAAATCTGAAACTTCAGAGTACCACTTCAGACTGATACTAAATTACACATACAGCCCTTTATCTTGGCCGAAGCTAGAAGCTACACCATAGATAGTATATGTCCTAACTGTCCTTTAACCAGTGTAATGGCCCAAACTTATTTTTGATGTTCCGAGGTAATAAGACCTATTGGACAAAATGAGCAGTTTTATATTTTTTTCATCTCCTATGTTTGTCCTGGCCTATTTGGGTGTCCAAACATGCTTCATATTATAGAGCGATTTACCCAATAAAAATGAAAGCTGACCACAGCAACACAATCTTCTGGCTGCAGTGAAATGATTTCCAAAGGATTCAGGTCCAGTTACAGTATTAATTCTCGCACAATTAAATTTTTTTATTGAACAGAACATTTTGGAAATCATTTTTTTAAAAGGGAAGCACTTTTAACAGGATTGTTACAAAACTTGGACCTAGAGGGCAGAACTAATGGATTTACATAAAAGCACGGAAACTGGATTTGAGGGCTTTTTTCTCATCTCCCTGTCACTTTCTTCCTGCAACTTAATTAAGAACAGACTTGTATGTTCTTCCCATTGGGCAATATTTTTTTAGAAAAGCTTGGAATAGGATTCAGGCGTGTGTGTGTCTTATTATTATATGATTATTATTATTATCTCTGAACCACAATCCTTTCATCCATTCCCTGGTTCTGCTCTTCATTTTAGCATCCTGACAACAAATTCTGACTCCTCCACTTCTCGTCCCTTGGCTCAGAAGCCTACATGAATATTGACCCTTCATTAGTGGGATCCTGATGATTATTCAGCTGCAGGTATCTAAGAGACTGGGAACAGCTTAAAAACTTTCATGTAGGCACTCCCCAACCCATTTTGAAACCAATCTTAGGTGAAGCTGATCTTACCATGATCGGCACTTTATGCTGCCTCTGCAAGAGCCACTATATCACTGGGCAGGAAGTGATTTGCCATTTGTTGATGGGTGATTCTGGGAAAGGCAAAAATAAATGAATCAAAAAGGTTTTTATTTGCTACCTGTTTCCACCTTTCATTTTCTTTATAATTTGCTAAGTTACCACGGTGGGAAGGTTAAGGAGGTGCTCATTTCAGACTCCATGTATTCTGGTCTGTTAGAGAAGATGATTTTAATAGGAGTTGTGGATTTTGAATATGACTAATTTAACATGACAAAATACTGCCATGGCCAGTTGTGTGGCTTCTATTTACTTTCACCAGATTCATTGAGTATCTGATATCCAGTTGTCTGAAAATACAGTGGTTTGTTTTAAAAATGGGAGGTAGTCTTTAGAAATTGAGCGATGTTACTTTTCCAAAGTGACTCAACTAAAATTGGATTAGTTTACCAACAACACTGGAAAGCGTATGAATTTGAAACTACAGTGGACGCATCGGGGTGGCTGTTTTGTCCGTCTTAAGGGGTGGCTGATGCTAATGAAGTTCCCTTACCTCTTCACACCCAGCAGAGGAGTGGCGGCGCCTCCTCCCTCCCATTGCCATTCCCATTGGATGGGAAAGAGACTAATTAGCGACAGCTCCGAGGTGATTGAAAGCCCGGGCACTCCATCCGTTCACAAGCAGTTCCAGCTGTCAATCAGTCGCGATTTGGCTCTTCCAATTCCATCCTTTATTTCTTCTGTGTTCTTCCACCCCCCCCCCCAGCCCACCCTCGCATTGATTGACAGCCTAGAGCTGCTTGTGAATGGCTGGAGTCCATTGTCAATCAATTGCAATTTGACTCCTCCCATCTCCAACCTGAAACTGCATGTGGCTAGTGAGTAGACGCAACGGAAACGACCAGCATGGCATTTTGTCCGGATTAACCAGAATTTTGTCCAAATTAACCGACCTATTTTAAACTGTTAAGAATATGAATGAATTGAGGCCGAGCGTTTTGTCTGATTTATCTTGTGTCCAGGGTTAACCAATATCCAGTTAAAGTGGCTTCCATTGTGTTTATTTATATAGACTATATTTTTTTCTCTTTACATAGACCCAAGTCCTACAGACCCCTTCCACAGAACAGCAAGTTGAGGTACAGTCTGATTTAATGCTTCCTGAATCCCTAAAACCGGAAGAGGGGGCCAGCGTTTGGCAGAACTGGGTTCAAGTCAAGAATGCAGAAATAATGAAGGAAGCTGAAAATAAACCACCTTTGCCAGGAAGTAATGATTTGCATTTTATTTTAAATGTTTTGTAAAGGGTGGGTCATGGTTCAACTTGTCTATACCTCACCCCCAACACACTTTTGCCATCTCTCGCATCAACTGTCCCAACGCCCTCCTCGTCGGTCTCCCCAGCTCCACTATCCACAAAATCTTACTCAAAACTTTGCCGTCCATATACTCACCTGCTCTAAAGTCCGTACCCCTATCACAACGGTCCTTTCTGGGCTCCATTGGCTTCCTGACACAGAATGGATTGACTTCAAAATCATAACACTCATCTACAAATTGCTTCATACTCTTGCACCTCCCTACCTCTCCGACCTACTAATTCCCCATTCCATCACGTGCTCAGCTGGCTCTGGCCTCCTGCTTATCCCTTGTTCCTTCCGCTCCGGCGGCCATGCTCTCAGCCACTATACCTAAAACTTTGGAACTCTCCCTCAATCCTTCCACCTTGCCTACTTCTTCCCCATTCTCAGATCATGCCTGAGGACCTTCCTCTTCGACCGTACTTACAGTAAACCCCCGCTCAGTGTAACTGTTAAACACTCTACCACGCTACCCTGAGTGAGGGCACTATATAAATGCAAGATGTTGTTATTTTGCATAGTTACTTTATAAAGCTTTTAAGAACTGTTGACATTTGTATAAAGGAAGTGTATTTGCACTTTTTGTCGGTGTAAAATTTCTTTGTATATTGTCGTTATGTATATTCACAAATTTGGGTTATAACAATGGCATTGCTAATTTTCTTTGTCATTTGGAAGTACTCATTTTGAAGTTCAAAAGATCACAAGATTGGTTTGGCTGATGTGTCCTGCTAAGTAAACAACAACAACAAAATTACATTTGTATAGCGCCTTTCACGTCAGGAGGACGTCCCAAAGTGTTTTGGACCTGAGCTGGGGGTCTTGATCGGGGAGGGTGGAGAGCAGGGGGGAAAGGAGGGTGACCGAAGGCACGGTTGAAGAGGAGAGTCTTGAGATGGGTCTTGAAGGAGGCAAGGGAGTGGGCAAGGTGGAGGGAGTGCGGGATGGAGTTCCAGAGGGTCGGAGCAGAGTGGCTGAAGGCCCGCCCACCAGTGTTGTTGGATAATAAATAGTGTGTGTGTAGTGGCTCACTGAGGAAGTATTGCCATTGAGCCATTTTCTTTAAGCCCAGAACTTATGAAGAATCCTTCACTTCAATGTAAAATTTAATAAAGCTAACATAACAAACTGAGCCAAAGACCTCTTGCATGGGAAGAGAAATTATTTAAATTGGTTATTGAGCTTGATACTTGGAAACTAAATTTCCTCTCAACATGGACATTGACAAGCTCAAATGGCAAATGAACTACTAAAATTAACTGGCTATGCTTGATACTGTTGACGGAATATTTATTGGGAGCAGGATCCTGATCCATTTCTCCTCTAATAAGAGTGAAGGTGACACTGAAAGTGAATCACTCATATTTCTAGAGCTGGGATTAGCTAAATCATCAGCCCAAACATTGAATCTGTGTCTATGTTTGATTCGGTTTCTCACAGCCGATATAGGAATTCTCCTGGCTCAGGTCAAAACACTACCCATGCTATCTTTTGTGCGGCCACAGCATCCCCTGTTCCCCCACACTCACTGCATGAGGTGTGCAGCTGCTAGTGGTCAGCTTTAATGTCAGTATAATGCTGATTGTGTAAAGCAATAGAACAAACTTGGAGTTGCATGATAAACATAATTTCTATGCACATCTCAAATATTTTTAATTTATTGTGCTGTTCTTATTGTCTGTACAAGGTTTTGTGCAAAAAAGTTTGTGGTTTGTTAAATGAACAGAAATAAATGAAAACCATTTGAGATATGTATATTTCCTTTATTTTTTCATCAGATTAAGTAATTTTAGGAAAAACTAGCACTGCAGCCAGCGATGAGTGCCAATGGCCACACACTGAGACATTACCTTAAGATTGCCATTTCTTGCTCTGTTCCTTTAAATGTGTACTTTTGAAAGATATGATCTGGTCTACATTAGTACCATTGGCTCAAAACTCACAACTACATAGATACCAAAGTAGTTGATGTGCTTGAATGATGTGCAGTTTTGGTTACTTGTTTTAAATGTTTCCATTTCTCTTTAAATGACAGGACGACAGCCAATGAGATTTAGAGAAGATGTCCTTTCTGCAACGTTAGTAGAACTTAACTATGGTCTTTGCTTGATGACCAAAGAAGCTAGAGATTCAGATGGTTCTCCATACGAAGCAGATTTGCTGTATTATTTCTTTCTTTGTATTCAGAAGGTAATCATTTTCCATGCTTTCTTCTTTGTAGAAAGCACATGTCCCTCACATTCAATCAAAGTCAAAAGTTTGCCCTCGCATTCAAATGTAATTACTCCCTCAACAGAACAAACACCTGCCTGTTTCACATCCTATTCCCCACCCACCATCAGTGGACAAGTCTTCAGTCACTTTGTCTCCTCTCTGGAACTTCACCCCCAAAACTTTCCCCTTCAAAATCTGCCTTAAGACCCATCTCTTGAACTGTGCTATTGGCCATCAATCTTCTCCCACCACAGCTTCCACTTTCTTCTTTTTCTATCACCGCCCCTCTCCCCCAATTCCCAGGCTTCTTGTGCATAATGCTTTGAGAAGTTACCCTGACATGAAAGGCACAGTATAAATTGTTTTAATTTATAAGTTGATCTAAGTGAATTAAATTTTCATCTTGAGTTTTAAGCAGTTGGCCACTCTTCTGTAATATCTGACCTGCATTTATTTATTTTCCAGCATATGTTTGAAAATGGAAGAATCGATAATATTTTTGCAGATCTCTACTATTCTAAATTTACTGAAAGATTACATGAAGTGCTAAAACAATGGCATCCTAAATTAAGCCAGCTTGGTGAGTTGTCACTTATTTTCTTCCTCTGATTAAGGAACCTTAGACTCTGATTTACTATACGCTTCTAGTTCTTTATCACCAGTGTCATATTATGTTCGTGCTCTGGAGCTTTTTCCCCAAATCCCTTGTTTGTGCCTTGTTCCCCATCTTCCGAACTTTTCTTAAACTTCATCCACCTTGAAATACTCCCATTTTTCCACCATGCTTAATTTGTATTAAATTTGAACATTTCAACAATGTTCACCTTATGTGAAAAGTGCTATATAAGTGCAGAATGCTGGCTATCAGAAAAATTATGGGGTCATAAATAAGATGACTACTTGTTCAAAGCTGATGTTTGAAAAACCTCTGCAAACCTACCTACAGTTACCCCTATATTAGATCTAAACTTTGCAAAGAAACTGGAATTAGTCTAATATCCCTTGAATTACCAAACCCTGATCCAAGGTTTTAAGTACTGTGGTGTGGGCATAAAATCTGAGAACACATTACACTGTTATACTATATGGCATATACAGTGAGTTAGCATCCTGTCCATTGCAGGAGATCCATAATCTAATCCAGCCGACACTGAAGGGTGGGGCTTGATGATAGTTTGAGTGAAATGCATTTGCAGTCGTAATATTAGTACCTGATGTGTAGATTCAAAGCACAATTTGTTTATATATTGGCATAAATCTCTGAAAGCCCATGGAAATGCCGAGCACAAAAAATAAACTGACACTAATCCATTAATTTTTTAAATAATAATGGGTAAAGTGGCTTGGGACGTCCTCCCGGTGTGAAAGACGCTATCCAAATGTAATCTTGTTGTTGTATTGGGAGAGGGAAAAGAATTTTAACTGTATCAGACTCGCATTGTACCTGACAACTGGTATGTGTTATACATCACCAGATGTATTCTATTCACTACCATGGACATGCCACATCTTGAATATCAAATATATATTATGTACTTGAGAGTTTACAGTGCTCTCTTTAAATACGTAATTGGATGTTGATTGACTCTGCTGTATTTCAAGATAATTCAAATAAATTTTGTATTGACTAGCAACTTTCAGAAATTGTGCATAATGATCATTTTACTTGTTTTTTGACAGGTTATTTAATTCCTAGTCGTATTACTGAGGAGATGCTATGGGATTGTAAGCAACTTGGAGCACACTCTCCAGCTACACTCTTATACACGTTGATGTATTTCAACACAAAGTACGACTTTAACATTTTTTTGCTTTAAGACCTTTAAATTTGTATTTGATTATGATTGTGGTTAGAGTTGCTTTATGCAACTATTTGATAGTATGCTGTTGTAGTAATTCATATAGCCAAAATAATGGAGAATTTAAGCTATACATTTCATACAACTGTACAGAATACATGCATAGACTAGTAACTGATAGACTTGAAAACAATGAGAAATGGGTTAGACAGTTAACATTAACATGGATCAATTGTTTTTTGGAAAGGTATTTTTTGCTGAAAACTGTTGAGCAACACTCCAAATTAGCTTTCTCCAAAGTATTAAAACAAATCAAGAAGAGCCCAGGCAATTCAAAGGATAAGTGTGCCAGTATACGATACTTGCGGTTATATGGACAACTTCAAGCTGGCCAGAAAGGTAATGTATATTTTCACCTTTTGATTTTGGGTCCTTTTCATTCATGGGTGAGATGTTCAGGCTCATTACATGAGCAGTTTAAAGATGATGCATTTTCAATGAAAGGGATTGTGATCTCCAGAGTAACAGGATTAAGATGAATATATTTGCATAGCTTAGTTGGGCTGAATGGCCTGTTTCGTGCTGTAACACTCTAATTCTACGAATAGTCCAATGTTTATAAAGGCTCCCAATGATTTTAGAAACCAATTGCACCTATAGTGCCACTTATAACACCTCTTCGTCTGCTGAGCTTCAGCAGACCTACAATGGTATCCACAGTCCGCCTGCTCTACCTGAGTTTCCCTGATCTTGCTTACAATGATCTTTTAAATATTAATAAACTGTTTGTATATAGGTTCTGAATAACTTTTTAGGACTCGTTGGTTTTCTTTTTCTTTTATCTTTATGAACAAATGTTAGGCCTTCACTGACATAACTTGCTACTGTTTCTTCCTCCAGTTGGACAAAATGCAGGTTGGATGTAGGATGAACCTCCCTTCTCCCATTATTATGTTAATAATATAATAATTCAGTTTTGAGCACAGTATAGATCAAAAGATTGGATTTTCTTTCTCCCACCCCCCATTTTTTAAGCATTATTTTACTGTGGGCTCGTGAAAGTGTTGCATCAAATTTCTGTTAACTCTATCAAGATGTTGCTTAGCATTCAATGTAGATTGGATTTAAAACCCAAAGTCATAGGACTCTATTTGAACAGATTATGTGAAATCAACATGTTTTTGTTTGGAAATCTTAAACTCTTGAACCAAACTTTACAAGTTTTTGTATTTTTTACCTGGGTTGATTTATTTTACTGAAATATTGTTTCTTTTTTTTCCTGTCTTAGTCACTGAAGACATGTATGTTGAGCAGCTTGAAAATTCAGAGAATCCATTGAGATGCCCGATAAAACTCTATGACTTCTACCTCTTTAAATGGTAAGACATTTTATTTGTTGCTGGTCATTCTAATTTGGTTTTAAGTTGCATTATCAACAATTATTAGTTCCTTTACACATGAAGCTATATTTAACATTTAGAGAAAAATCCAAGCATGACCAGACAGGCGAAACCATATTACTAACTGGAAAGAATAGCCAATCCAATTTCAGATTGTATTTCCATTGATAAATGTCAGCACTTTGTCTTTGGGTAGGCCACATGGGAGGCTAGTGTCTGGAATCGTCGCAGTCTGGATAAAATTACATCATTTCTGAATTCTGGTCTGCCTTTTAGGAACTCCTTATTGCGTCTGTTTCAGTTTGAGCTGGTGGTTAATCTCCTATTTCTAATCACTATTTTTTTTAGTTATTGGGGATTATCATAGATTTGCTCATTTCTGTTCTATCTCTGTCTTATTTTACTGTTAATATCTGATTCTTCTGGTCTCCTTGTTATCTTTCTTGCTTTCGATGCTTTTCAACCAGTTGATAGGTGTTTTCTTGAGGGAGAGTGACTTACCCTGATGTGTATTCTTCCCTCTCTTCCCCCACTCCCCCTTCTAAAATTACTGTGCTCTGCTCCTTTGCAATGTTTGTTCGATGAGATCTGAGTTCTGGCCTCCATGCTCAGCTGTTTCTCATTAAGGTGTGGCAAAATAATTGTGCACAGTATTGGCGCGTAGACTGTTTCCTGGTTTTACCTGATCCTAATTTTAGAACACGAAATGGCAGGAAGCCATGTTCGCACGAATAGTACGTGCACAAGGGCACACTTTCATTTTGATGTACACTAAAACCCTGGCTAGATGGACTAATGGGGGTGTGGGAGGGTGAGTGAAGAGAGGAGAGCTCTGGTAGATATAACACTAGATTCGGCATTTGCCGGCTTTTTCGTTGCTGCATTGTAATTGAATTCCATGAGCAGAAGATAGCAAATAAGTTAATCTACTGTTCACGGGATTCAAATTGAGGCAAAGTCAATATTCCTGGTTACTGAAGGCCAGCAAGAATGGCGGATGGGGGCACGGGGATTTTAAACAAAAAAAAACAATTTTGGACCTGGTCCTGCTCATTATCCATTCTGGATACTGATAAGATGGCGGTTTACTGTAGTTGCAAGTCACCACCTCATTCTCTAATGGGTTAAATTGATTTGTTTAGTTGGACCGAGTAGTTAATTCTCCTGATCTATTTTTAATCACCATATTTAATACTTTTTTTCAGATACTGGGGATTTTGTCTATATTCTGCTTTATAAAGCCCACATTCTAAATTTTTTTGTTCTGCCATAATGACGTTGTTGTTGTTGTAGTCCCCAGAGTGCTAAAGGACGTAATGATGCCTTCTACTTAAACGCTGAACCTGTGGTTGCACCAAACAGCCCAATCTGGTACTCAACACAGCCAGTCAGCAGTGAGGCAATGGAACAAATGTTGACCAGAATCCTCATGGTCAGGGAGGTCCAGGACGCTCATGCTACGACACACATCTCCCCTTTCCAATGAAAATTCACGGAATAAAGGAACTCATTGGCAAGTCATAGGAAATCGTTGTACAGGCAACTTATTTGTCTGCATCAGCTGTCAGAAGAATTTCATGCACATGGCTTGAGGACGAATGTACCATGAATATGGATGTCCAATCTTGAAATTTGTGGCTGATTTGTATTTGAGTTGTTCTTGAAAGCCTCAAGAGTTTTATTGTTTCTTTAAACTATACAGAAAATAATTAACTCTCTAAAACTGAACAGACTGTAAATAAGAGGAAAACAAAAAACTTTCTTTCCAGTTGGCGGTAGTGAATTTTGCTACTTCATCAATAAATTCTTTAATGGAGTTTTGAAATTAAATATAAATTATGTGCATTCCATCTGTGGCAACACAGAATTGTGATCATTGTATAATTTAATTACTTGTTTGAATCCTAGACTGAAGTTCTGTCTTTACCTGTACTACAGATGCTTCCATGAACAGTCTCCTTTTTAGCAGACTGACATGTTCTTTAACACGTCTTTTGTTTTTTTGTATGTAAATGTACCTGGTGTACTTCTGTGCCTAATGTGGATATTCCACTACAGATTTTGAGAGAAACTTTATAAAATATAAATTGCATTTGCATGAACAGAAATTAAACTAGGTTTAAAAAAAAATGTTGGCTTTAGGTTTTAAACCAGATCAACTTTACCTCAGACCTGTGATATCGTGCCTTGATATCAGGCAGGTGCTTGGGATAATTTCATATGGACTATAACGTGCTATAAAGCTTTTGAATATAGTTAGGTTTGGTGGTTTTTACTTTTATGGGGGACAATTATATTTTTTTCACTTTAATTCAAGTTTTGAATCACTGACTAATATAAATCCTTACTATTATAATCATGTAGTGCATACCAGGGATATCACGTTACCTTTGTAATTTTTTTTTATAAAATTCACTAATTTCATTGGTCTAGGTAGAAACAATAAATTTTACCTACGAAAGTAAAAATGCCTTGGCTTGTTTGGAACATGAAATTTCTTTAGGATTTTTTCTCAAAAATCCATAATTTTGAGTTTTAATTAAGGAACCATGACCTGATTGAAAAGGATCAAATGGCTGATTGACATTAATTTTGCTGCAGCCCATATGAATATCTAAGCAGATAGTAATTTGCAATAGGAATGAATTTGCAAGGATTTAACTCATCATTTCTAAATTGAGCAGTTGAAGTAGATTCCACATCCCCCCCACCCTTGTTTAGCAGAATCTATTGGGCAGGACGATCAATCTTCCACAAGAGTATTTGGATGTGGAAGGTGTCACCCAAAGTAGCAAATGAAACTGTAAATACTTCAAAAAAAAATCAAAAGACGCTTGAATGAGAGCGCATTTCATAGGTGCTTGAGACAAAGAGCAGGGAGTAGGTTTAGAATAAGTTGTTCTATAGGTAAGATAGCAAAAGTTTCCACTTCCCTCCCCCACCCCTTGATCTCCAACACTTAATCCAGGAAATTTAAGTGGTTTTGGGTGACTTACTGTTGAAGAACTCACCCATCGGTTGGGCTGGGGTGAAATCACAAGAATGAAATGTATCATGGCTTGGGCAGTGTCTAAATGCAATACATTACTGTTTAAGGGCTTGTTCTGGTATTTTAATTCTACATTTCATGTGGCTGTTAACATTGCAATGTTCTCCAGAGGCCAGGAATCTTAGTTTGGAGTCTCTTTAATTTCAACCATATTTGGCTTTGCTTTCAATTATATGCTGGACCTTCTGGTCACGGCCTGGTGTTTGGAAGGTGTGGTAGCATCTTCTGTTTCTTTTAAAGGGGGTGAAAGTATATTCTATTAATATATAGGCACCTAATGTTTATTGGATTTTTTTATATCAGTGAAAAACAGCCATGGAGTACATTTTTGGTTTAGAACTGAAATCTGATGTGGTGACACAAACTGGGACATACTCACCATAATTTAGCTTCTCAGTGATGCGCTCAGAAGATGCCTTTAAATAAGCTTTTAAAAGGTAAAACTAAGGACATGAAGCAACTAGAATTCATAAGCATACAGTTAACATTCAGCAACTTGATAGAATATACTTTCTCCTTTTAACAACCACTTTGAATTTCTGTGGTAACTGCCCATTTTGTTATATGATCACATAAGTATTAAAAGTTGTTTTACTTTATGAAAAGCCTGCATGAATTGTTGATCTACATTTAGTTATTGCAGCAATATGGATTTGTAATTGGGGTTTGTGACAGGGTAATAAAGTAAATTAAGGAATAGATTTACTTAACCAACAGCCTTCTAACTCAGGTGAGTTGACCCTTATACTAGATGAGTCTTGCTATATACTTTATGCATTTATAGTGTGCCTTTTCAGGCTGTGAGGACATATTGTACTGGTGCATTACACTAACACTAAAGTTTTAATTTGAAATGGCTATAACTTAAACTGGTCAGTTTCTTAGGCTTTCAACACAAATCCTAGTAAACAAGTTTTACATCAGTAAATTTCATTTCAGTATATTTATATTGAAAAATTGATAGGATTTAAATTCATTTTTTATTTGGAATTGTACAGCTCGAGTTAGGAATTATGTATTTGAAACACATCAGATACTGTACAGTGGTTGGAAGTAGAACTTTAAAGTGGTGATATGTGTACAACATGTACATTACAATGTATATGGGACAAGTCTAAAGTCTTGTAGCCTAGTCCCACAAGCAAGAGGATTTAGGTTCAATTCCCAGGGGGGGTTGAAATATTAGGCAAGTTTCCTTACTCTACACACCTGTTGACCTAGCACTAAGTAGGATACATTTTAAAGATGGTTAGAGTATATTTAAAAGATGTCATTATTTGGTCACAAAAGGGAATTGGATATATTCTGTAAGAAAATATTAAAGTGCAGGCAAAATTAGAACAGTGCTAGAATGTGCAGATTATATTGTGCAAGATTACTGTTACAGCCACTTTCATTCCTACGTGCAATCCTATGTGCGAGCTCATGTAGCTTAAAAAAAGGAACAGAAAAAAAAATTGATTTCACACATGTAATTAATGTATAGTATTTATTAATGATGTATTGACAAACAGTAAATTGTACAATTACCTTTTTTGAAACAAAATAATTCTCAACATTCCCCTCGGAATATTTTTACAAATCCTGAACAAGGCATTGACTGTTGAATCAATTCCACATAATGGAATAAGGGAAACAAAATATTCCTTTGAAGGCATACACTTAGGCAGCAACACAATGAATAAAGCATGAAACAGTTTAAAGTAAGGAGGAATACTTTCGGTCGGGTTGATTAGAATAATACTAATTTGAAAGTTACTTTGACACAATAAGTCATTTTAATGCAGCGGATGTCTTCCGCTGACACCGTGCAAGGGAATTTGCACTGCATGACCATTTCCCAGACTTGACAGGAGCACTGCCTCTCTGCTAAGAAACAAGGGGCTGCTCTGCCAAAGGGAAAAGAGAAGAGAAACACAGTTCCACTCCAACCGCTGCATAGAAATCAATGCTGGGAAGTGGACATGCTCTGGGAAACCTTCATTGAAATCAGCAGAGCAAGCATATCCACTCGCTTAAAAGGTTTCCTTTTGGACTCCACTGAAGTGTTTCACCTACAAAGGAAGCAGACTGTTACAAATTAACACAATTACCTGGGGAAGAAAAGGGTAAAGTTCATCATCTCGAATGTACATAACTGCAGGTTACCTTTTTAAAAATATCTAAGCGTAATTACTTATATTTTATATTCTCGTCAATTTGCTGCAAAAGCTACTTCTCAGCCTCCGGCTCCTGTAGGGAAGGCACAAAGCCCAATGCCACAGCGCCACCAGGTGTAACTGCAGTAAAAAATGCAACACCGAAAATAAATCACGAATGATAGGAGATACCTGAAAACAAATATGCCTATGTCACACCCAGTTCAAGACCTTTCTGATGAGGTATCAATCGGTTATTGAGATCCTTCTTGAAGCACAGATAGACATTGTCGTTTTATTAGTATAAGAATAGATTAGCTGGTTAGATAAGGATTTACAGTGGACATGCAAACAGTTTTTTTTAAAAAAATGTTTCTCTCACCCCAACCAAAAACAATCATTCACTTTGAGCCTGACCATGAGTGAGAGGATGCCATTGTGAAGAAAAATCAAAGGTTGAATCAGCTCTTGCAGTAAGGCAAGAAGTATTGTCTAAAGGCAATGCCCAACAGCAGAGATACTGGATTTTCTATTTAAAGCACAAATAAATATTAATACTAAATACATTCTGTATTTTGGCCTTGGATATTAAATATTCTGTTCATTGCATCTTTCACCTTAGTGTGAAATTAGTTAGTGCAACAACAACTTGCACTTGCATTGTGCCCTCCATGTTGGACAGCATCTCAGAGCGCTTGAGAAGTCTAAATCTAAAGTCTGTCAAATCTAAAATCTTTTGTGAAGATTTCAGTCAAAGACCAAACTAGAACTACTTACAATATCAATCATTTCCTGTTTCTCAAGAACCATCTCTACCCCCAACTAAAACCTATGCAAAAACATAAAAGTCCTACATTCCAAAATTGAATACAACATTATAGCAAATATTCTGAATAGATGCATGGTATAAAAGGGAAACTAGGTTAGTGAGAATTTAGACTGCCCATTTTATTGATGTCTTGGCCATATTCTTTTTAAAAACTTTTATATACGGGTATCGTTTGAAATTTGTTTTTCAAATAATCAATTACTGCATAATAGTTGCTTAATGCCATTTTTGCTCACATTGTATTCAATAACATAAATACCGTGTTACCAAAAGTACCATGTGGAGTCACTGGGTGTATAATATTCTATAGGGACACCTAATGGCGGACAATTAGTATTACAGGATATGTTTTGTCCCAATAGAGTAAGTGTGTTTTACTTAATCTATGTAATGGCAACAATCCACAAATAGCTTGTTGTCAACGTGACCAAAAGTTTGCTACGTACGTGTGACATTTCTGTTCATAATCATCCAGATCAATAAATTGATTGATCTGTAGGGTCCTTCCTTAGCCATAATGTTAATGCCATGAAATCTTGAGAGACAACCTATCGTCACAATGACGTTTACTTATGCTTAAAAAAATATGGTGCATGACTACATTGACAATGCTGCTAATTCCCTTTTGATAAGAGTCAATGAACTTTCCTGTCCAGGACTCTGTTACCTCAAATAGCTTCTCAGTTCTGGCCAACATGACCCGCTGATGACGCTTTCTGTGCACCCTCATCTTAGTCCGTTTCCAAAAATAATACTACCAAACACCCTCACACCTTATGTCTATCTGATGTCCAAGCTGAAGGTGATGCAGTGGACCAACATGGTTAAAGCTACCAAATGGTCTAGCCCCACATTGCTGAGCTTTGCCCTGGACTTCTGCTCATCTCTGTCTAATCTTAATTCTCACGTTCTGCTTTTGTCATGCATTATTAAATCATGTATAATAATAACCTGGTCACTCAATCCATGACTGTTTGTGAGACACTACTGTCCGCAATTGGATGCTGTATTTGCCCACAAAATACAGTCAATTCACTTTACAGTATATTCTGTAAAGCGCTTTGGGACATTGCGAAGACATAAGACGCTATATCCAATGCAAGGATTATTATATTATTATTCTCTACTTACCTTTGTTGAGCTAACAATTCCTGTGGGAGGTCACAACCTACATAGGCATTATTTACCACGCAATACTCGAGCAGTGCACTCCAACATGGATCCTGGAACAGTAATTTAAAAAGATGAGTGGTCAGGAACTCATTTAAAATACTGTTAATAGCACAACCATGACTTAACCTGAAACTTGTTTATTCCTAGACGTTTTTAATTAAACGTGTCCCAATCAAATGTTTTGTGGTACTTATGTTTATACTGAACTTTAAAACTAGTTATGACACACACAGGTATCCTGATGTATGCAATTTGTAAATGTAAAGACAAGAGAATGGTCAAAGCCTTAACCAACTACAGCAAACTATATTTGTATAGCACCTATCACATCAGGATGCCGTCCCAAGGCTTTGGACAGTCAAGGATTTGGACCCAAGCAGGGGATTGGGATCAGGAGGGGTGGAGGGCAGGGAGGGTAGGTTTACCAAAAGGGCAGTCGAAGAAGAGGATTTTGAGACAAGCCTTGAAGGAGGCGAGATGAAGGGACTGTGGGATGGAGGTCCAAAGGGTAGGGGCAGAGAGGCTGAAGGCCCAACTGCCAATGGTGGGGCGGGAGACACGGAGCAGGCTGGAGCTCACTGAGTGGAAGGAGTGGACAGGTATGTATGGAGTTAACCAATCTGTTTTGTTCCACCACCTCCACGTACCTTGATGAGAATGTGTGGGTTCCCTACCACAATCAGTAGGGCTTTTGCTCTAGTGATGGCCACATTAAATCTTTTGGGGCTGGAAAGAAAACCCAAAACATAACGTGCATCCTCAGACATATTATCTTCACTGGATCGTATCTGAAGAGAGATTTAAACACGATAAGTATAAGTCAATAAAATAATAATCCATACATTTAATATAGCACCTTTCTTGTCAGGACGGCACTTCGAGATTATCATGGGATATACTGTGGAGTGCAGTGACTACATTTCTAGGTGAATGTGGCAGCCAATTGTGCACAACAATGTCCTACATTGATGGCCACACCACCAGAACATTCTCTTGAATATGAAAGTATCTGCCTCTAATAAGTCTTGTAAAGCACATACACTGTTCCTTACAGTAAAGGTTTAAAACCAATTGAGTTTTAAATTTTCCCTTTTTTATAAGCCACACTAAGCTACACAGTCAATACTAGTGTGCAGTGTCCATACAGGCCTGTGTCCTTCAATATACATGAAAAGAGTAGGGAATTGGGATTAGAGTAAATAGTTCCATTGGAGGAGCTTGTGCAAGTTTGACAGTGACCAGCCTTCTGTCCCGCAACTTGTATGATTCTATTGTACATGACTGCATTTGAAGCTCTGCCTTCTTTCTGACAAGTGGTGAATATTTTTTCATTTCTTTGCTACAAGAGACACCTCTTTGGTATCCTGGACTTATTTTTTCCCTTCGTACACATCTTCACTGATATGAATAATTCCAATTGGCTGCTGTGGAAACCTTCGCTACTTGTAATTATACAGACTTTTGAAAGGAAGATTTATTGGGGTTACAAGTGAATTATTGCATGGGCTAATGTACAGTCGAGGGCAAGAAAATTGCATATGATACTCACTGGCAACAGAATAGATTAAATGAGGAAAACAAACATTGCTATTGAATATATGTGGTTCAGGGATATAAACATTGGGAATTAACTTTCAACTTTATTTAACTGGCAATTCCACCATACAGTCCTCACAAAATAATTGCTATATTTAGATATCACCGTAAAATAGACTCCATTAATTGCAGTTTTCTGGCTGTATGAATGCATTTGTGCTTTGCTGTGAGGAACAAAGAGAATGGAGTGTGCAATAATTTTTTGTGTCCTAGAAATTGGAGGCCAATCACATTGAAAATAATGAATTTCACATTTGATATAGCAACTGTAATGTCAAAATATTTCAAGGTTCTTCACAGGGCAAGTTTAGTGACTATTGGTGAAAGCAGCAGCCAATTTGCATGGAACAATGTCCCACAACTCAACCATGAAGAGAATGACCAATTTTTTCTTGAGGATTGTTGGAAAGGACACCTGGAGAAACTCCCTAGTCTTTTTGAACAGTGTCTTGGGGTATATGGCAGAATTTCCAGTTATATAAAGTTAAAATTTAACTCCCAATGTTTATATCCCTGAACTACATATATTCAATAGCAATGTTTGTTTTCTTCATTTAATCTATTCTGTTGCCAGTGAGTATTATATGCAAATCACCTGAACAGGCAGCCAGGATGTCGGTTTAACATCTCATTCCAGGGGCGATGGAGCATTCAATCAGTACTATGAGCCAATTTAGTTTGGATACCGAAGTCTAGACTATGAGCTCAGAGCCCTGCCTTGTGGTTTGAAACCTTTTTGACCCAGGCATTTACTTCTGTTTATAAGTAACTCAATTATATAGTCGTTTAACACTAATACCTAAACACTTCTTTCAGTGCATTAATCGGAGAGTCAACAGGACGCACCGTTGATACGATTATGACCAGATATTCCCGACCTTGGAATTCTTCGACAGATCCAACTTTAATCTCGGAGAGATTGCCACTCCTGAGAAGAATTCTGATTTTTTGTACCTAAGTATGAAATACAAATAATGATTTTAAGTTTGTGTGTTTCACAAGATCACAAAATTGGCTTAAATGAAGAAGCCCTATAAGCATGTAAGTGTATTTAAAAAAAACTGTATTCAGAAATGTGATTCGCTTTTGAATCATGTTACTTTCAATCTCACTGTTTCCCCCAAACTGCAAAAAATGTATCCTCGGTTGAAGCCGGCCAAGAATCTGTAATTTCACTGACTCACAGTTGATATAAAGAGAACGTTGAGTGTATTGGTACAATAATCCCTGAGACTGCTTGAGCCTCAATTACTCCACAGCAGATTCGGATTCCAACTACTCCCAACTGCAAATATGTACTGTGCATGTCTATTTCTAATACCATCATTAAAACTAAACGTTTCTAATGCTGTTTGTGCCGTCAAGGATTCCATGAACAGTCACAGAGTACAAGACCGATTGTCGGACAGGATGCCAGGAGAAACTCCTCAAACAAAAACACGTAAATGAACAGGCATTAATGAAGAGGCAACAATAACTACAACAACTTGTATTTAGAGGAGGCATATAATACAATGCTTTATAAAATTGCCTGTGGCTACCTACCTGCTTATGGTATGCTGCAATTACTCCAATATCAGATTGCTTAACTGGACTTGTATAGTTTTTGGCGAGCAGACAGCAGTAACGCATTACTTGAACAGCTTCCTTAGGGTTGAACCACGAAGGATTACTACCTTCCCTCATCTCTGCTCCCTGAAATGTAAATTTATTCACTGCAATTAATATAGACCAGAAAGGAGGTTGCAAAACTTAATTACAGCTTGTAACAGTTACTTAAAAAAATGGTTTTCTGTAATTTTATAAACAGTTAACATCAGTTGGGCAGAAGGTTGGTCAAATCTCTGGGTCAGAAGGTTGTGGGATCAATCCTCATATCAGAACTTGATCTCACAGTGTAAGCTGAAATGTGAGTACAGTACTGGGGGAGCGCTGTATAGATGGAATTGCTGTCATCCAAATGAGATGTAAAATCTCATTCCAACCACCTGTTGATGGTAGTCATTAAAGATCCTATAGCACTATTTGAAAACAATGGGAGGTTGTTCCAGTGTCATTCGCCTCATAGTTGTTCTTGAGATCTTAATGAAGCATTTGATGTTACCCAATATTTCTTTGCTAGGAAAAGTTTAATTGCTGCTTTTTTGATAACCCCTGTGGCTTCCATAACTAACAGCGATGAAATTTTATTAAGATCTTGGTCCATTTTGTAAAGCTACGATATTTTCGCCCACAAAATATACAATCAATTCACTCTACAGTATATACTGTGAAGCATCGAGACGTCTCGAAGACGTGATAATGCGCTATGTCAAATGCAAGGAGTATTATCTTACTATTCGATTTAGATTCTAGCATCAGTTACTTTCATAGAAATGGAATTTTAAGTGTACCCATATGTAGTACCTTTAAGGCAATTTTTCCCCGTTGACTCATTTGTGAGTTTTTTTTGTTATCAGAGTGCAGAGCCCCAGTTATACTGCCTTGCTGTATCCCTTCCTATTCTTCAAATCAAACTTCTGAAAGTTAGCTTGTTGTCCGACCCAGACAATAATGCACCTCATGAAGTTGGGAATATCCTGTAATCGTTATGATTTTGCTAATTGTCATTTTCTACTTTCTCCGAGGCAGTGGCAAGTTTAATTTAGTATGTTTTGCAGGCAGTAAACTCAGGAATAACACGAGGAATACGAAAGTTTTGGCTTCGACCTTTCCTCATCTTTATTTTGGTGGCTAATAACCAAGAACAAAGGGAGTATTCAATAGATTATGAGTGAATTTAAAGTGGGGAAGAAACTTAACTGACAGAAAAATGAATCTCTAGTTTATCATTCCACATAAATTGAAACCAAACCATTGTTTTTAAAAAATTGCATTCAAGACTTAAAAGGTGCAACTAAGCCTTGTGTTACTCACATACCCTCAAACCATGGAAGATTAATGGAAATCCTTTCTTTGGCAATTTTTCCCAGTTACAAAAGCTGTTGACAACGGACTGGTCTGCACACATCTTCAGATCTTTATGATAGAATAGCTCAGAGGGCAGCTTAAGCAAAGAAGAATGTGACCGATAATTCTTGTTCAACTTTGTCACCTTAAAAAAGGGAAATTAAATACACGTGTTATTTCCGAGGTGCAACACATTTATGGGCTGCTCGTAACCCTACCCTCCGCAGAGGAAGAGGAATCATTGAGCAGCTTCAACAACTTTATTGGTTTGGTGTCTGTCATTTGGAGAGAGCGGTGAGTGGGATTGATTTGGATTCTTTTCAAAGAGCTGGCACAGACACGATGGGTGAATGGCCTCCTTCTGTGTTGTATAATTCTATGATTTCTAAACAAATGAAAAGATAGGACTTGAGCTTCTAATGATTTTAGCCTGATTTCAAAATGTGGCAGACTTTGAAGAAGAGGTAATACAGGGAAACCCCATTAAAACACGGTCATCTGGTTTCAACATCACAAGATTGGTTTGGATGAAGGCCATTTGGCCCAATTCTTTGATGCGATGTTATAAGACGAACAAAAAAAGGGGCAATTTCTGGGTTGTAAGATCACTGCTATAATCAACAGCAACAGCTTGGACTTATATAACACCCTCCATGCAGGTAGTGCCTTATTGCCTCCTGTGTGCTACACATACGTGCTGTGTGGACAAAGTGCTACTGATGTGACTTCCTCTGCGCAGGAAGTAATGTCTGCAGTTGCGTGTTATGCAGCATCCAGGAAGTGACTTTTTGCCAGCTACTCTGCGATGGAAGCCAGGCATCTAGTGTGTATGGTTCGCATTGGTGCTACAATAGACTCATTCCCTAAGCAAATGCATGCTCACCTGGGGGTTAGTTATCATAATGATAATAATCCTAGATTATAATAATTAATGGGGTTATCATGCATTTAGAAAAAGGAACTTGCGGTACTGACAATGAATAACCTCGTGCAAGAGATCAAGTTGAAATGTGTCTGTATGCGCATTTGTGTTTTTTCTCCTGAGAGCCCTAATGGTTTCCAATTTAGTCACAAACAAGTGAAGCACCAATGATTAGTATAGCCCAGAAAAACGTGTCAAGAGCTTGGGATTCTACAAAAGGAACTGGAGGGAAAGATCGCAATGTGGAAGAATCAGATGAGGTCAAAAACCTTTCAGCATTGCCTTATCTTGAACGAGCTCAGGTCTCCCCCACTCCCATAGAGTCTATACATTTAAGTTGGAGGCTTCGTGAAAAAACGAGGATGTAAATAAAAAAAATTTGCTGGAATTTAAAGAGATTCTTCAAACCAATAGATTATAACAGCAACAGCACCTTGCATTCATATAGCGCCCTCCACACAGGGCATCATCTCAAGAGCACTTATAAACCTGGAGTGAAACAATGAGTGCATGATGCAGAATCAAAACGGCCTCCAGCTGTTCCCAGGGATAAAGATGCTTCATGGTTTGGATAATCGTGGAAGACAATAATGCCCACAGTTTCAGTTCCCCCGAGGTCGCATTACATTTCCGCATTAAATGGATAAAGGAAATCCTGGGAATGGATTACACTGGAGAGAACCCAATGATCCTCGGTGCCTAAACCCAAGCAATTGCTTCCTCCGTCCCCCGGAGCATTTATAAGTAAGTCCCCGGTTGTCCAGCTGCCTGCGATAAGAGATCAAACCCATTCCAGTCTGCTGTTTAATGACAAACCCATGACACATTTATAACACGCGTTCATTCGGAAAGTGGGGGGAGGGGAGTAGCCCTTGGATTGATATTACTGGTTAAGATGAATAAACAGGATAGACTATGGCACCTTACTCAGATGGTTGTGACATTTCCAGATGACTCCCTGTATGCCCAAAAGATTTTTTCTCACTCACTTTTCTGCACAGTGGTTTCCCTAAATGTTGTTTGTTCCCGCCAAGCACTTCTTTGCTATTAACAAGTAAAACTCCCCAAACCTTAATAAACTGGAGGATTTTACAAGCATATAAATGTAAAACTGCGGTATTAACAGAGACGTGCCATTAAATTCACATATTAAATAAAACTTTTTTTTTTACTGTTGAAATCCATCCTCTACTCCGTAGCCATCTGGTACTAATCATAACGTTTTCAGTTCATTGCACATGCCAAGAGCACAAACACTGCAAGCCCTGTGTTTTTAATATCTACTTGGTGGGGGGGACGTGGGGAGGAGGGGTGGGGGGGAAGAAAGGAGACTGGAAGGATTTTAACAGCAGCAATTTAACTGAAACAGAAACTCACCAAAAGAGGATTGTATGAACCAAATGCACTGAACCCTTCATCTCTGGAATACACCGGTCGTGCCATTAGTCTCTCTAAGAATGAAATGGGAAGCCCGTACACGGAGGCGATCTTAGACCTCATTACTGGGCCCAGTTGCTTTGGGTCTCCAACAATTACAATCTGCAGATTTAATTAAAAACAATATTATGTTTGTGAGCAAGTGTGGAGTCCTGTAGCTCAGTGGTTAGAGCACTTGCTTTGCAAGCGAGAGACCCGAGTTCAATTCCAGGCAGAGGGCGAAACCTTGGGCAAATTTGCTTACTCCACACGCCTAATAATCCTTCCAAAACAAAAACAATAATAAATTGGTCAATCTACGACTGTTTGTGGGACATTGCTGTGCGCAATTGGCTGCCGCGTTCGCCCACAAATATACAGTCAATTCACTTTACAGTATATTCTGTGAAGCGCTTTGGGACGTCTGGAAAACGTGTAAAGCGCTATATCAAATGCAAGGGTTATTATTATTATTATTACATAGGCTGCTGATCACGTTGCAATTTACACTGTTTTCTCCACCCATATAGAACACGAGAAATTTACAACACAGAAGGTGGCCATTCGGCCCATCGTGTCGATGAGGCCCCTTCAGGATTGCTCTTAAAAGATCTTCTCATGAAGCAGAAGAAAACATCAGAGTTTTGCCCCACAAATACATGCTGACCTCCGAGGTCATTGCTAACGTCACTGTCTACACTGTGCATGAACGCAGGAAATCAGGTGTGCGCCTGTGCAGTAAAACTGATTATTCCTAGCCTGGATTGAGATTTCATCCCCAATCATTACTGCCTTTGAAAGCGTAAGAAAAGACTGAAAAGATAGGGCTGGGCTATTCACATAGCACATGCTTTCCCCCAGGGACGTTATGCTGGAATCAGGGAACTCAGGAACTCAACAGCATGGAAACTGGGCACATTGTTAGCCCCCAGATAAAAACGATAATTATTCAATACAAAGTAAACCCTAGATTTACTGGCTAACACTCGTTACCTGTCCATCTTTCTCAGACACAAGAAGCAGAGGAATAAGACACTCAGGCTCACTAGCTTGTCCCGATTCATCAACAAACACATGGGTGAAGTGTCCAGTCCTGGAATACGTTTGAGAGAACAATAAAAAAAAGTGAATGGATATGTTAAATTTTACATTTCTACTCTTGAGACTTAGAACTTAAGATGATTGGACAGAACAGAGAACAAAGAGATCCTCAGGAGCTTCACCAGTGCAGAGGATACACGATCTTCTCATATCACAATTTGAGAAAGTTCAAAGATCTGAGAGAGAGAAAAACAAAACAAAATAGTGATAAAATTGGTTGAAGCCAAAGTAAAATTTATGGCAACCCAATCAAATTGATTCTAAATTTAAACAAAAATCGCAAGGATGTGATCAACCCAAACTGAATCTCAGGCAATCATAGACTCCAATGCCCAGTTCTGAGGACAATAAAAGCAGGATTAATAGGCAGATGTTCCACACCTGCCAAAAAAGAAAACTGATGGATTCTAATTCCTGATTAACAGCCCATTTATGGTCTGACAAAAGCACTTGATCTGCAGTGTGTAGGTCACATCAGTATTGGATCAGCGAATGACTAATAACAGGACAACAGGAAGCATATACTCCCGGAATCAATCTCTGTGTGCCAGAGATTGTGGTTTCAACCTGCTCATCAAGATCACTCTCCCAAACAGGGAACCGCAATTGCTCAGGCAGTGTGCGGAGACACTGGGCAGTATCAGCAGTTACAGCCGAGGTAAGGCTAAGTGATGTAACCCAGTGACCGTCCCAAACTCTCTGAATTACAGAAATATTAAAATACGGGTTTACAAATTTCGTTGGCAGGAGGTGAAAAGATTAAAAAAGATGCAGAGTACAGCAGAATATTAGAGGGGGAAAGGGGGTGGAGGTGAAACCAGAAAAAAAATGAAGTCATATTAAATATAGGCTCTAAGAGAGACAAAAAAGTGCATTCAATATGTTTCTGATCATCCATATGGATGACAAGGTTATAATTACGGGACTAACTGCAGCCAACTCCTGTTCTCTTGCCAATCCATTCTGCAACTATGATTAATACCAAAGCATAGTCCCCGATTACAACTTATCTCAGAATTGATATCTAACAATGACAAACTTGGTTAGATTTTCAAATTCTGCACTATTGTTGGGTAATTTCCATCTCAAACTTTTACATAAGACAAATCTCTTTGACCGCCCTTTCAGTCGTATTTCCCCTCCCCACCCTCTTTGGCTCCCACCCCCGGCTCTGCGTTCCTAGCCAGTATCAAGTGCTTTGAGACGTTTCCTGACGTGAAAGTTACTATATAAATGTACACTGCACCATAACCGTACAGTTTGCAAGAAGAATCATTTTGTTGCCTTAAACACAAATATTAGAGATTGTGCTCATCCTACATACTTCTGAATACTCCCCCAAAAGTATGATGGGTACTTTTAACTTTAGTGGGACCCTAGCATTTAAATTTACATTAGGGACTGGAGAACTACATCATTTTGACAGAGGATCTTTTCGCATTGAAAACCTAATCAGGAATTGAACGCAGAATGTCTAATGATTTGAAATGTTACACATACCTCAGGCCTATCTGGAAGAACAATCCAGCAGTAGTGCAGGTACTGATTATTATTCTATGGCGAGACGCTTCCCAAAGATCCTCTCCTCCTTTACTGTACAGCTGCACAATTTCAGGTATGGTCTAAAGAAAAAGAAAGCAGATGAACACCGCAAACAAATGGACTACAAAAGGGATACTGTGGCAATGGAGAGAAGTGTAGCACAGATTTTACTAGTATGTTACCAGGGCGTGAGAGAATATAGCTTTCAGGAAACACTGGACAGGTTTAGGCTTATTTTGCCCACAAAACAGTCAATCCACTTTACAATAATATTCCGTGAAGCGAGACATCTCAGCTACGTGATAAGGCACTATAATAATAATAATCCTTGCATTTGATATAGCGCCTTTCACGTCGGGAGGACGTCCCAAAGCGCTTCACAGAACACACTGTAAAGTGAATTGACTGTATATTTGTGGGCGAACGCGGCAGCCAATTGCGCACAGCAATGTCCCACAAACAGTCGTAGATTGAAAATGACCAATTTATTATTGTTTTTGGTTTTTGGAGGGATTATTATTAGGCTCTGTGTGGAGTAAGGAAACTTGCCCAAGGTTTCGCCCTCTGCCTGGAATTGAACTCGGGTCTCTCGCTTACAAAGCGAGTGCTCTAACCACTGAGCTACAGGACTCCACTATATGAAATGCAAGGATTATTATAATAATAATAATAATAATAATCCTTGCATTTGATATAGCGCTTTTCACGTCGGGAGGACGTCCCAAAGCGCTTCACAGAACACACTGTAAAGTGAATTGACTGTATATTTGTGGGCGAACGCGGCAGCCAATTGCGCACAGCAATGTCCCACAAACAGTCGTAGATTGAAAATGACCAATTTATTATTATTTTGTTTTTTTGGAGGGATTATTATTAGGCGTGTGGAGTAAGGAAACTTGCCCTAGGTTTCGCCCTGACTGGAATTGAACTCAGGTCTCTCACTTGCAAAGCGAGTGCTCTAACCACTGAGCTACAGGACTCCACAACCATGTGCACTTACCGGCCAGCTGCAATGAATCGCGGGAAACATAGTCTTGAACCATTGCCTGATGCGCAAAAGAACTTCCATTTCCTGCGATTCAACGCTTGCTGGTAAGTGGGCATGCTCCAACGGGTAAGATGCACTGAAATCAGGAAACGTAGCCTTGACTCGTCACATGCACACTTACCGGCTCCAATGACGAGGTACCACATGCACACTTACCGGCTGCATTAAATTACTCATGCGCCGTGCAGATTATTGATTAGATCGTACTTATTATTATTACTAATACTATCCTGGAGATGAAATGATTGAAAGAGGGACCTGACAGGTATTCAAAATGATAACAGAGCTCAATAAGGTGGACTTCGATAGGCTCTTTCCACTTATTGAAGAATTATTCCACTTATAAAAGACCGGCATGAATATAAGATAGCCACAAACAGATCTAAAAGAAATTTTAGGATGAACTTCTTTACAGTGAGGGCGGTGAGGATGTGGAACTCACTGCCAGTAGCTGTTGCTTGAAGCAGAAAGCATGAATGTATTTAAGAGCAAACTTTATGCATACAAGAGGATAGAGAGGTGTGGTGGGGGTTAGATTGGGTGAAGGCTCATGTGGAGGAAAGAAGTTAGGGCTCCTCAGTCTTGAGAAAACATTTTGCTGCATTAATGCAACTGTGTTTACTAAACTGAAAAATGGGAATTAAATCCAGTTCTAAAGATTATGGCTAACATGAGGCAAAGCTAAATTAACACGACTATTTAAGAAGGGTGGGAGAGAGGAGGGGGATCTGTAGACCAGTCAGTCTGACCACGGTGGTAGGGAAAATTCTGGAATCCTTAATTAGGGACGTTGTAGTGGGGTACTTAGAAGACCATAACAATATTAGGCAGAGCCAACATTGCTTTACAAAAGCGAAGTCATGCTCAACAAATCTTTTAGAGATATTTATAATAATAATCCTATAATAATAATCCTTGTATTTGATATAGCACTTTTCACGTCTTCCAGACGTCACAAAGCGCTTCCCAGAATATGCTGTAAAGTGAATTGACTGTATATTTGTGGGCGAAACGCAGCAGCCAATTGCGCACAGCAATGTCCCACAAACAGTCGTGGATTGAAAATTACCAATTTATTATTGTTTTTTTTTGGAGGGATTATTAGGTGTGTGGAGTAAGGAAACTTGCCCAAGGGTCCGCCCCCTGCCTGGAATTGAACCCAGATGTCTCGCTTGCAAGGCGAGTGCTCTAACCACTGAGCTACAGGACTCCACTTGAGGATGTAACAAGTAGGTTAGATAGGGGGGCACCAGTAGATGTAGTATATTTAGATTTTCAGAAGGCATTCAACAAGGTGCCACACAAAAGGCTGCTACACAAGATTAGGGCCCATGGAATTAAAGGCAATATATCAGCATGGATCGAAGAGTGGCTAACAGGAAGAAAACAGAGAGGAGGGATAAACAAGTCCTTCTCAGATTGGCGGGATGTGACTAGTGGAGTGCTGCAAGGATCAGTGCCTGGGCCTCAACTATTTACAATCTATATCAGTGATCTAGACGAGGACATAGAACTTAAAATATCTAAATTCGCGGATGATACTAAGCCAGGTGGGAGAGTAAGCTCTGAGGATGACACAAAAAAGATTGCAAAGGGATATAGATAGGCGAGGTGAGTGGGCAAGAAAGTTACAGATGGAATATAATGTGGGGAAGTGTGAAGTTATTCACCTAGGTAGTAAAAACCGAAAAGCAGATTATTTTCTAGAGGGGGAGAGACTGGGTAATGTTAGTGTTCAGAGGATTTGGGTGTCCTTGTACACCAGTCACAAAAAGTTAGTATGCAGGTACAGCAAGCAACTAGGAAGGCTAATGCCATGTTGGCGTTTATTGCAAAAGGGTTAGAATACAAGAGTAGGAAAGTCTTGCTGCAACTGTATAGGGCCTTGGTAAGACCGGACCTGGAATATTGTGTGCAGTTTTGGTCTCCTTATTTAAGAAAGGACATACTCGCCTTACAGGGGTGCAGTGTAGATTCACTAGGTTAGTTCCTGGGATGAGGGGGTTGACCTATGAGGATAGGTTGAGTAAACTAGGCCTATATTCTCTAGAATATAGAAGAATTGAGGGTGATCTTATAGAAATATATAAGATTCTTATGGGGCTTGACCGAGTAGACAGTGTGAGACTGTTTCCCCTGGTTGGAGAATCTAGAACTAGGGGTCACAGTCTTAAGATTAAGAGTCAGCCTTTTCAAACAGAGTTGAGGAAACATTTCTTGACTCAGAGGGTAGTGAAATTATGGAATTCTCTACCCCAGAAGGCTGTAGATGCTCAGTCCTTGAACATATTCAAAACAGATTGATAGATTTCTAAAGGACAGAGGGATTAAGGGATATGGGCATAGGGTGGGAAGATGGAGTTAGGTTAGAAGATCAGCCATGATCTTATTGAATGGCGGGGCAGGCTCGAGGGGCCGAATGGCCTACTCCTGCTCCTAATTCCTATGTTCCTAAATGGTGGGGTGTTAATGGTTCAGGCACAAACAGAAGCGAGAATAGGCAGAAAACTGCTAGAACTGCAAAAGAACGGTGGTAAGTTCTTGGATTCACCTTAATTTGGTTGCTTTTATTTAGGATATCCTGGATACGTGCAGTTGATTGTTCATCACAACTTAAGGTGGACTTGGTTCCCGTCTGAACTGGAAAGGCCAAGGAGGGAATGGATGTTTTTGCTTGATGTAAAACTGCTTCCAAAAGAAAATTACTCCCATACCTCTTCAGCTCTGCAGGAGGCATTAACTCGCACCAAGTCTCCCTGTTTTAGCATATTGCTCTCATGCAAACGCACGCACAGCAGATCAGCAGCACTGTTGGACGGAGTGGCAGCCAAAATCCGACTATGTGGCAACGTATGGTGAATCTAAAGAGAAACAAAAGTTATTTTATTCTAATTGCTTGTTGACTTTCTAGCTCAACCGCTTTTTTTTATATAAAAAAACACACACACATGTGCTACAAACTAGAATCCCTCTGAGAGCCAATAAAGTTAGCAAAAATCTATTCTCTAAAATGAATTGCTTAAGATTAATTATCTAAAATGTTTTGCAGCCGCATTTTCGAGGCTTCCCATACGTCCTGAGATTGTGCCTGCACGCCGAGAATCTGGTTATTTATACTGAACGATCTGCGGGTGAACTTTTTAAAACTATGGGGCAGCACTGCTTACAATTCAGTCAGACACCTGTATAAATGCAAATTATTGTTGGCGCAATAGCCCACCATGAAACAGCAAATTAGGCTTAGTGAGGTAGCGCAACACACAGGGCTCCTATAGTGCCGCTCAACAGAGCAACAGCTAAGATTCCCAGTTACTAATCTCAGCTGTGACATCGTGCAGAGGGCTTTCTCCATTGGGAGCAAGGAAAACTCAATCATCTGTATTAGGTTGAGGAGCAGAATGATTCTCCTACAACTCAGTCACCAGGAGATCAAAGAAAAGGACAAATAGTAACAACACGTTAAGCACAGAGGAGATCAAAGAAAAGGACAAATAGTAACAACACGTTAAGCACAGAGAGCAAAATGTTTGCTGAATAACAACAACATTTATATAACGCCCCTGAGTGTTTCACAATGGGGGCGAGGGAGGGGGGAGGTGGCCGTAAGCACGATCAAAAAGGAATATCTTTTAAAAGACATCTGCACGCCCTGAACAGCTAGAGCTCAAGCAGCAATTGCACGAAGTCCAAATAAGCTACCTGCAAGATGGCTTCAATGATGGTGACGGTTTTGCCAGTGCCAGGAGGACCATACAGAATATATGGCGTGGGCCGGCACTCTCCACGAAGGATCCTCTGAACAGCACATTTCTGAGATTCGTTCAATAGCGAGTTGAAAAATTCACATTCTTGCCTTTTGGATGGTCCAGTGATATTCTTCGCTCCTGCAAAAATTTTAAACCATCTTAAATAAGAATCCTGGCATTTGATGGAGTGCCTTATCATGTCTTCGAGACGTCTCAAAGCGCTTTACAGAATATACTGTAAAGTGGATTGACTGTACATTTTATGGGCGAAACGCGGCAGCCAATTGTGCACAGCAGTGTCACACAAACAGTCGTGGATTGAGTGACCACATTGTTATTGTTTTTTGAAGGGATTATTACAAATTTGTGAACAACATTTTAACAAATGTTAGATCATTTTAACTTGTCAAATTAGAGATCGTTAATAACAACAACGTGCACTTATATAGCGCCCTCCATGCAGGGTGGCATCTCAGAGTGCTTAACAATAGCGGAGCCTGACTCTGAGCTGCGGGGGGAAGAGGAGGCCGTAAGCACAGTCGAAGAGGAAGGTTTTCAAGCGGGGCTTGAAGAAGGGGAGAGAGGGGGCCAGGCAGAGGGATTGAGGGAGAGAGTTCCAGAGTTTTGGGGCGTATTCTGAATTAGCTGGATTTTTTGAACAGTGGAGCTGGGGAGACCGGCGAGGCGTGCATTTGAGTAATCTAAGAGTCATCAAAGCATTTGAGTGCGATCCACTCGACGATGATTAGTGCACTACTGGACAGGGCTGAAATTCGGAAATGCCTTTTCGTTTGTGATTAAAATAAAAGCGACTTATTACACACAGCTAATGGGCAAAGAAGCACACTCCAGTTTGCATAAATGTGAACATAAACTTGTTTTAGACTTTAGATGCAATTGCAAAAAGTTTTGGATAATTACTTGTAGCAATAGACGTGATGAGTTGACATCATCGCGGAACTATTGTAATGGTGGTAAGAGATTGGCAAAAGGTACAAAATGCAATTTTTATTTTTTTGCAATCTCTGCCAGCCAAGTAATGTTACTGGAGTGGCTGACGTTACTTAACTCATCGACTGTCCAGAGCCTTGGGGCATCCTTCCGACGTGACAAGGTGCTATATAAATGTCATTTGTTGTGGAAAAGTGGCTCAATTTTCCTGGCTTCCGCTAACGTTATTTGGGGGAGCGGAGAACTCCAAAACAATTCTAATGGCAAGTCGTACTGGCACAAATCTCAACGCCAGCATAGTCTTTACATGATGAAAAAGAGCTACACAGTAAAAGAGTAATCCTTCAAAACCTCTTTGGGATCCGTTAATGACCTCTTTACGCAGTTAGTGGTTTTAAATGTTTTCCTTCCTAATATCCATTTCCTCAGCCTGGTTCCAATTACTCATGTCAACACGATGAAAAGCTTTCCCCCGAATCAAGTGTTCCGCTCACATTTTGAGCCTATTTACTAAAATGTCATCTGAATCTGTTCCACCGATTCCAGCAGGGGGGTTTATTACTGGGACATTTATACAAGAATTGGACACGCACAGGGAGAGGAAGACTATTAGAGGCACAGAATACTATGATGTTCCTTCATCAGGGTTGAGATGTAACCCTGTAAATTAATTGAACTGCATTAGAACCATAGAAACGCATAACGCAAAAAGGCGAGTCCACTATTTTGTGGAAAGGGCAGGGAATTGGGGTTATTTAAATTGGGCAATTTAATCTTGGATGGCTTCATGGAGGAGCATACACAGACACAAAATAGTGTGCATTTCTATGGTTCTAATGCAGTTCAATTAATTTGTAGGGTGTATACAGCTTAACCCTGACTAAGGAACATCATCTAAAAGGGGAATAAATCATTAAATCATGCAAGAGTATCTTCCAATGAAAAGTAATCTCCCAACTTCCTGGATGAAGAAGCTAAAACCTTGGACCTCCTCTCTGAAACCTCACGTAGAGCTACAACAACAACAACAACTGGCATTTATATAGCGCCTTTCACCAGGGTGGTGTCTCCGAGCTCCCCTCAGTACATGCTATAGACAGGTCCATTGAGTGAACAGACCTTGCTTTCGATTTGGTCTTCAAGTGATAAGAACAATGTACAATATTTTATAAATCAAAAACAGTTTGAATTGGTGAGAACGAGATCAAAATTCACTGTAATTTCCTGACCGCTTCAGACAGGAATACTGAACCTGGGCAAAGCTTTCATACTCCTACTGCACAGTAGACAAAGGAGGCCAAAAGACAATGAAACAAGACAGTTATTTAAGGCAACTCAATAAAACTAAAAAGATAATTAAATATGGGAAATTGTGCAACATCAAATAAGTTCAGTACCATGAGGTACTTTTTCCCACACACAGTGTGGTTAGGATGTTGAAATGCTCTCCCAGGTAAGGTGTTAGAGACAAAATCCATTGTGGTTTCAAGAGCGAAGTCGACAGATACTGTATGAGAAAGTTAAGAGGCTTGATGGGGTATATAGAGATAAGGCAGGGAAATGAGATTGAACGAATTGTTTGCTCTGAGCACTAGTGCAGACTCGATGGGCAGATTAGAGTCATTCTTCATTGTAAATTTATAGGAATCTATAAGTCTGGAAAGCAATTCGATTTTCAAAGTCCTTTCGCAAAGCATGAGGGGCTTCCCAGATACAATACCATGTGGACTAATGGAACTAGGTTTGATATTCCAGTTAATGTTTGGGCCTGGGGAGAAGTAACTATGAATTCAGTGGCTGAGGTCCCTAGAGAGATCTTATAAACAATCGCCTGCTAATACACAGTCACTACACTTCACAGTAAAATTCTATGAAGCGCTTGGAGACGTGTTGACGGTGTGATAAATTAAACTATTATTTAGTCTGTAGCTAAAAGGATATACAGAGTATAACTCTTTTGGGATGGGGGAGGGAGCATGTGAGAGAATGAAAGAGAAAAACACTGCTTTCTGGTGTAAGGACAAACTGAGTCAGTTATAATAATAATAGCATTTGATATAGCGCCTTATCACTTCTTCGAGATGTCTCAAAGCGCTTCACAAAATATACTGTGGAGTGAATTGACTGTATATTTTATGGGGGAAAACATTATAACATTGTAAAGGAGTTTTGACACATCATGAAAATAATATATTGCACAAACTAAAGTACATGAGCTGAACTCACCAGAACCAGTTTGAGTAGAGACTGAGATGCCATCAGACATGTACACTATTTCGGTAGCTCTTTCCTTGGCATTTCTGTGTCCCCTTTCCCGGTCTGCGGCCTCCAAGCTTTTACAGGAACTACTTAAAGCGGAATCCAGGTCTTTTTCCTGAAATAATACCAATGCCTACAATGTTATAGCACCTTTGGTGTCGAGAGGACGTCTCAAAGAATTTCTGAGGATATACTGTAGTGTAGTGACTGTGCAATTGTAGCGAGTGCAGCTGCCCAAAATTACATTTGTATCGGGCTTTTCACGTCCGGAGGAGGTCCCAAGGCGCTGGACAGAATTTCGGACCCGAGTTGGGTGTCAGGGAGGGTGGAGGTCAGGGGGGAAAGCAGGGAGATCGAAAGCATGAAGAGGAGGGTTTTGAGATGGGTTTTGGAGGTGGCAAGGGAGGGGGCGAGGCGGAGAGACTGGGGGATGGAGTTCCAGAGGGTGGGGGCAGAGGGGCAGAAGACTCATCCACCAAATAGTGGGCGAGTGAGGTGGGGGATGTGAAGCAGGCCAGAGCCCACTGAGCGGAGAAAGCAGGGAGGAAGGTAAGGGGTTAGGAGGTCGCAGAGATAGAGGGCGGGGGGAGCAAGACCATGGAGGGCAACAAACCCAGATTGTTGGCCGGGACAGAGGGAGAAACTGCCTTCTCTTTACAAATAGTGCTGTGAGATCTTTATTGGCCACCTAGATAGGCAAACAGGACCTTGGTTTAACATCTCATTCAAAGGACAGCACCTCTGACAATGCAACTGAACACCTGTCCCAACACTGCACTCAGAGGTGAGGGGGCTACAACTGAGCTAAGCCGATATGTCTATATACCAAGCACTAAGTTTCAATATAAATATTGGAGAATAACTAAATTATAGAGTCACCACCATGACTGGAGAATAGCTCATAGATGCAACACAAAACAATGAGCATTGGACTCACTAAAGGCGCTGTACAAACGTAATTTGTTGTTATTCCTCGTCCCTTAAGGACTGTGAAATTGCCGATCGAAGCAAAAAGGCAAAATCCAAACGTGGACAAGTATTTACTGATCAGAAGTTTCAATGCATCTAATTCATCTACAGTCAGAAAATACATGCATTTTGTTAAATTATTTTCTTACAAACCAACACCACTGTTACCTGATCATTCTCCCCTTTTGAATTACAGCGATTTTCATTTTCATCCCTCAACACAAGGTCAATGTCCTTCCATGTGGTGATGACCTGTGGAGCTTGGAGTGTTACCCTCTCCGGAAACAATACTGAGAGGAAGAAAAGCAGGATTACCAATTTACACAAAGAACTTCAAATCTCTGTGTTGGACACTCACAAACAGAATTTTCTAATCATGGATTTCATTCAATAATATAACAGCATTTGATATAGCATGTTATCACATCATCAAGGCATCTCAAACTGTAAAGTGGATTGACTGTTTATTTTGTGGGCAAAACAATCTTCTGAGAGACGACTAATAGATAAACGCCCACTGAGGCCAAGCACTGAAATTTCGCCCAATGCTTCTTCTCCCTCCCAGAAGGTATTGATGAAAATCTCCAGGATATCAATTGAACTCTACAATCTGACCAGTCTACAAACCCCAGATATTCATTCCAGTGCTTTGGAAAAGGAACCACATAGTTCTCTAGTTTATAAAGCTTAGCAACTGCTCTTATTTCTACTCCTTGGAACCTTCAATACAATGCCTAGTCAGGTATTCATCCAATTGTGTTTTTTTTAAAAATTGCTTATAATTACATACCTCACCTCAGTTTGAAATGTGGTTATTTGTGAAAAGAACAGCGCTCAGAAGATGAAAAGCACCGCAAGGGAAATAAACAACTCTCTGTGTGCCAGTTGGACAGGATTATTTTGCATGAAGTCACTTTTTACAATTTACAGGAAGAAAGGAGATTGAAACATAAAGCCACAGAAAGCTACCTGCTTCCCCCAGATGAAAGGCTTGCTCCACTGCAAAGTGACATCTTCGGATTGACGTTCTACAACACAAGTATTACATATAATTATAGGGGATTGAGCTTGACAAGTAATTGGGTGTATTTATAATAATCCTTGCATTTGATATAAGCACCTTTCATCACAGGATGTCTCAGAGAGCTTCACAGGAAGTGAAATGCAGTGACTGAATCTTGCAGGCAAACACAGCTAATTTGCACACAGCAATGCCCCCACAAACAGCCATAATAATAATGTTAATCCTTGCATTTGATATAGCGCATTATCAAGTCTTCAAGACGTGTCAAAACACTTCATATGATATACTGTTAACTAAATTGACTATATTTTGTGGGCCAGTGTCCCACAAACACTTGTGGATTGAGTGACCAAATTATTATTAATTTTTTTGAAGGGATTATTACCCCCGGAAAAGCGATCCACCAATCGACTAACAACTGGGCTCCTACTTACTGCTAAGTAACAGAGGCTTGTGGAGTAAGGAAACTTGCTCAATGTTTCGTCCTGCTGGGAATTGAACCCAGGTCCTCTTGCTTGCGAGGCGAGTGCTCTCACCACTGAGCTACAAAACTATCCAAAAGCATTTCCTGGTTTGCAACAAACAGAAAGGATATTTAGTGTAGGAAAGGGGCTATTCAATGGGATATTAGGAGAAACTCCCTTCTCTTTTCAAATAATAGAAGGGGATCTTTCACCTGAACAGGCAGATGGGTCTAATATCGCATCCAAAGGACAGTACATTCAATAATGCATCACTCTCCAGCATTGAATTGGAGTGTCAGACTCGACAATGCAAGCCCCAAATCCCGATTTTTGGGTTTGAACCCACAACCTTCTGATTCAGAGGCAAGAGCGCTACAACTGAGTCAGGCTGATACCTATTTCTGGGATTAAGCATTGCCATGCTGTTCTACAAGAAGAAACAAAAGGCAAAATACTGCAGATGGTGGAAAGCTGAAATAAAAACAGAAGTCACTGGGAGAACGGACATCGACCTGAAACGTTAACTCACTGTCCTCTTTCCTTAGATGCTGCCTGATCTGCTGAGTGTTCCCAGCGGCTTCTGTTTTTATTTAATGTTATCCAACAAGATATCCTTTTCACCAGGCTAGCCTTTAAAACACTGTTATTTCCATTCTGTTTCTACCTGTTGTATGTAAACTCCACATCCAAAGGCTCCCCTTTGTAGGTCTGTTGAAAAGTAGAGTGAAACTTCAGCATAATCTCTTCTTCACACACCTGTGTTGTATTAGTAAGGTGGCGGGAGGGATGAAGGGTGGGGAGAAGAAAAAAAACAAAACGCTTACCATTACAATTGAGGCCTTACACATCCCAAAATACTTTTACTATCCTTCCCCTTCCTCACGTGATTGTTACACTTGTGGATTGTATATCTGGTACCTGTCACCTGATGGCTTTGAGACACTATCCTGTGTGTAAGGTGCGATATAAATGCAAATTGTTGTTGATACTTCAACCAAGTGACCGTTTTTGTGGAAGCCATTTTTCAGACAGTGAGTGCTGGTAGGACGTTCAATCTCGGGGCAGTGGGTACAGCCAAGGTGCCCATACTACACATACTGAAGGAATAGAGGTCAGCGCTTTACAGGGATTGGTTTGGGCACCAAGCAAGAGAGAAGCGGAAATGGGAGGTGGTCATAAGCGCATTTAACAAGGCAAGATTCGAGGCAGCAATTAAAGGCAGAATGTGATGGGTGTGATGGAGTGAGAAAGGGAGGTTAAAATAGACTGCTAAAACAGCACAGGGGAACTTTATTTTTTTTAAATTAGAAGATTTCCAACACTTAAAGATTTAGTGAGTAAATGCATGTGATGTTCCCGAGCTGAACAAACTTGGAAAGTCCCAGATTTGATCTCTGGCCTCACGGAGAAAATAAACCCTTCGAGGCAGTAACTGAAAGAAATTAGGGTGTAGTTTCCTTGTAGGTTGGTGAAAATTAAATGTAAACAGTCACTCCACTAGGCAAGTAAGATGCTAGGCAAGTCAAGTTTAAACCACTGAAACTTGCATGAACTAATTATGTTACATTTAGTTGGCTTTCCTGATGATTAAAAATGAGATTTAAAAATTGCTCTACAAACTTATATTGCTTTCCTTTAATACTGTGATCATTGTTCTTTGAAAACAATGGTTTACATACTAATGGGTTCTTCTAGGTGTCCTGTGCCCAAATCATCTTCCTTTTATCTGGGTGGCGGTAAAGATATAAGAGCAGCACTACACAGCAAAGGTCCAATTCACTCACATTTTTTCCCCCCGCAAACACTTTCAATCAGAAGTAGAAAAGGAGAGCACACACTTTGTATCAGCAAGTTCATGACTTTTGCTTTCATTTGTTGACATCAGTTTATTTATTTGTCAGCTGAACATATCTGGAAAAGCATCGCCATACTTAAGAGTATCCAAACCAAACAGAGTTCTATATATGCTTGCTACCTACCAACGGAAACTTCCATGCGTATGGACTAAAATGCTAAAACTAAAATGAGGTGCTAACATATAATAATAATAATCCTTGATATAACACCTTATCACGTCTTCAAGATGCCTCAAAGCGCTTCACAGAATACACTGTAAAATGAATTAAGTGTATATTTTGTAGGTGAAACCCACCAGCCAATTGCGCACAGCAGTGTCACACAATCAGTCGTGGATTCCTTTCCCTAAAATTTATTTTGAAGGAATTATTACCCCCGGAAAAGTGATCTGCCATTCAACTAACAACTGGGTTCCTTGTTACTGCTAGGTAAACAGAGGTGTGTGGAGTAAGGATACTTCCCCAGTGTTTTGCCCTGCTGGGAATCGAACCCAGGTCCTCCTGAGTGCTCTAACCATTAAGCTACAGGACTATCCCAAAGCATATTCTGGTTTGCGACAAACAGAAAGGATATTTAGCATAGGAAAGGGGCTATACAATGGAATACCCTTCAGGAAAAAAAGTCTAAAGGTATCTCAAAATTATCCCAAGAGCAATCATTAACTTTATACAGCACTTTTTTTCTTACCAAATTTCTTTGAGTTTGCTGCAACAACATTTTCAGCTTTAACAATAATCCTTGCAATTGATATAGCGTCTTATCACGTTGCTGAGACAGCCCAAAGCCTTGCACTAGATTTACTGTAAAGTGTAGTGACAGTATTTGTATGCAAACTTTATATTTATATGCAATCTGAGATTGCTGTATTCCATGTTTTATTATTGCATAGGTCCGCTTACAGTTTATTGTATTATCGTCTTAGTTTACTTATCAGAGTGCAGTTTAGTTACCACCTACCTGAGCAACAAAACCAGAATAACATACTGTAGTTTCTTCATAGCCAGGACTTCGTAATAGTAATCGGTCACCTAATGACTCAAACAAATGATACTACGCTTTATGATGTTTCACTCAAGTTAAAAGTGCATTTAAAAGCAACTTCTGGTGGACACACATTTACAACTTCTGGTGGACAAACAAGCATACGGGATACCAGGCTTTATAAATAGGGGCATAAAATACAAAAGTCAGGAAGTTATGATGAACCTTTGTAAAATACTGGTTAGGCCTCAGCTAGAGACTGTGTTCAGTTCTGGGCATCACACTTTAGGAAGGATGTCAAGGCATTGGAGAGGGTGCAAAGGAGATTTACCAGGATGGTACCAGGAGGTGAGGAGAATTTTTTTTAACACAGTGAGTAGTTCGGATCTGGAATGCATTGCCTGAAAGGGTGGTGGAAGCCGATTCGACAACAACTTTTAATAATAATAATAATCCTTGCATTTGATATAGCGCTTTTCACGTCTTCTAGACGTCTCAAAGCGCTTCATAAGAGAGAAGTAGATAATTATATGGGGAGGACAAGTTTGCAGGGCTATGGGGAGAGAGTGGGGCAGTGGCATTGATTTGGATAGCTCTCTTCAAACAGCTGGCACAGACATGATTGGCCAAATGGCCTCTTTCTGTGCTGTATAATTCTACGAATACAGTGTTTTGTCTCCATTGGCACAGCACACTTTTACTGAATAGGCAAACAATAGCAAAACAATTTTCATTTATAATAGCACCTTCCACGTAGGAAGAGGTCTCAAGTGCTGTACAAAAACAACAAATTACATTTGTATAGCGTCTTTCATATCAGGAGGATGTCCCAAGTCACTGGACAGTCAGGAATCCGCACCCAAGCTGGTGATTGGGATCAGGAGGGATGGAGGGTGGGGAGAGTAGGAATAGGAGGGTGACCGAAGACTCGGTCGAAGAGATGGGTCTTGAAGGAGACAAGGCAGGGGGCGAGGCAGAGGGACCATAGGATGGAGTTTCAGAGGGTGAGAGCAGAGAGGCTGAAGGCCCATCCGCCAATGGTGGGGTGGGCAAAGCATGGGACGTGAAGCAGGCTGGAGCCCGCTGAGCGGAGGATTGACAAGTGAAAGCCTGAGCTTGGATGGAGTTAAGTTGAAGGTGGCCAAAGGCTCAGGTAAAGAGACTGTTTTTTAGATGGGTTTTAAAAGCAGCAACTATAAATTTAATACATTTGTATATTTTCAATACAGTACTTTCCCAATTTAATAAAAAAAAATCTCAGGTTAGTTCTAAAGAATAAATGTTTCTCCAAGGTTCTAAAATTTGTAATCATTCTAGGAATGAGTAAAACAACAACAACAAAATTACATTTGTATAGCGCCGTTCAAATAAACTAAATGATTTCTATACACATCGTTTTGAAAGGGTTGTGATCAAGGTTAACTTTTGTTCCAACTTACTGTATCTCGAGTCGAGAACATAATTTTATTTAAAAGAAAATTTATTATCATTGCCAAAATCTTAGATATTTTAGAGTCAAAAGCAAGAGTCAGTAGCAAATAAAGGATAAATGTCATTGACTGAGATATCCTTATCATTCAATATTTTACATCCTACTAACTTTTAATTGAGAATGCACTCCTCTCCTCACCGTGAGTTAGCTTCAGAGTTGAACCCAATTAAATTAATGATGGGTTCAATAACTAGCAGTCTAGAGTTAGTGAATTGATACAGATACAACTTACCAATGGTCACAGATGGCCTGCCTTCAGCCAACCCCGGAACCTCCAATATTAGAAAATCTCCACTTTTCTTCAAAACCACTCCAACCATGTAAAACTCTTGAATTTCCAACTCAGCCTGAATCTCTTCCAGCCAGAGCAGAGTTGAAAAATGCTCTTGATAGTTAGACATATTCAACTCCTTGAAAAGGATTTAACACAATTTATATTGATATGAAGAACAGGTTAGCTTTAAAAGTTACGACTACAACGCAGCAGTTAGCTGTTAACCATGCTCGCCTCTGAGTCAGAAGGTTGTGGGTTCAGGCTCCACATTGGGATCTTGAACTCAGTCTATAGTGACACTACAGTGCAGTGTTGGGGGTGGTATGTGCTGTATTGTTGGAGATCTAATCCTTCGAAAACCAAGGTCCCAACTACCCGTTTAGATGGATGTTAAAGATCCCACGGCAATCTTTTAAAAATGGGAGCTTCTCCCAGTAGCCTGGCCAACAATTCCCCAAATAAAATTGGTCACTCAATTCACGGCTATTTGTGGGACATTGTGCACAAATTGGCTGCTGCGCTTGCTTAAAAAATAGTCATTAGACTTTACAGTAAATCCTTCAGGTCTTCCTGACGTGAAAGGCGGCATATCAAGTATAAGGATTAATTCTATTATAGTTACTAACCTGTACAAGTTTTGGTTGAGCAGTGAGAATGTCTGCTTTTCGTGCAATACAATCCTTTATTCTCTGTGGTATTGGATACTGTGGAATAAAGCTGGGCAAGTGTCTCCTGGCAAGTCTGGACAGAACATTGGATACTTTAGACTTAAAAGTTAATGTTTGACTCCTGAAAAACTTGACCTAGACTCACATAGTCAGGGGATTCTTTATTCATTACTAATAATTTTATACAACAGATGCATCACAATTAATCGTTTTTAAAATGAAGGTACCTAATAGGTTTCTGCCCCATCACAATGATGGCGTTGGCTTCCTGTGGATCTGCTCGAGGGGTTTTGAGCTGAACCGGGACATATGTAGAACACGGTGCCAAGAGAGATTCCTCATCATTCAGTACCACCACCTCAATGTAACGTCCAATCACAAAACCACTAAAATAAAGTAACAGTAGCTCTTTGCAACACCCGGGGTTTCTGTAATAAGAACAGATTGCATTAGTAAGGTAATTGCATTCACCTTCACCCATAAAGTATACAGTCAATTCACTTTACAGTATATTCTGTGAAGCGCTTTGAGACGTCCCGAAGACGTGATAAGAAGCTATATCAAATGCAAGGACTATTATTATTGGGTGGAAGAGGAGCAATTTATTGGAGGAGAATTTCTATAGTATTTATTCTGAGAAACATGAACACCAACACACTTTTCATCAATCACTGATGTGAATGATAGTCCTGCATTACTAACAAAATCTACTTGCATTGATCTTTCACATGGAATAAACATAAGCATGCAAGTAGGCCATAAAGCCTACCAAATCTGATCCATGATATCCTTAAAAGTGATCGACAGCATCCAATAAGAAAGAAGTGAGAATTAAGAATCTTGACTAAAAGCGTCGTCAAAGAAAGGAGGGTTTATAAGGTAGAACAAAGTAAGTGTCGAAATTTTGTAAGAGTTCCAGAAAGCAGTTCTAAGCTATGCTGGGAGCCAAAGGGTGGGGAGCGAAGGTGAAAGATGATCAAAAGGGTGGGTCATCCTGAGGCCAGGCAAGGTGCCGGAAAGAAAATGAGCTCCAGAATTTTGTATGTGTTGCAACTTGTGGTTCCATGTATAAAGCCACCCTGACAGTCGTTCTGAATCTGTTCACTGTTAGCAAACAGATAGATTTCATATAGTAATCTGACAAACTGTATTCCACTAAAATTATTCCAAATTCTAAAACTGACAATGGGGGGCTCAAATTCAGAAGAAATAAATAAAAGGCTTCAATGTTTAAAAAAAAATGTGGAATAATAGAATTTAAAAAATGGACACAGAATTAGTGGGATGTTTTTCTGGTATCTTTGTGACGAACATTGAATCTGATCCTGCACTGTAGTGACCGGGGTGTACAGCATTGAAAATGCCGTCCTTTAGATGAGATGTTAAACCAAGATCCCATCTGCCTGTTCAGGAGGATTTTAAAATTTCCATCACACCACTAAAAAAGAGAAGGGCATTTCTCCAGTGGCTAACAATCCCCCCAATAAACTTGGTAAATTGTTTCATGGCGGTTTGTGGAACGACTTGCATTGCTGTGCCCAACATGCCTCATTTTGCCCACAAAATTCAGTCAATCCATTTTATAGATATCCTATGAAGTGCTTGGAGCCGTCTCAACGATGTGATAAGGCCCTATATCAAATGCAAGGATTATTTTTTATTAGTAGTAGGCAATACAAATGATTTTTCAAGGCCAATCTTAAGTTAGTCGTATTATTTTGAACAAACAAGATTCTTACTTTGCTTCACACTTGATGTTTATGTAGGCCTTTTCATTTGGTAGTAAACTGACTAGTGGGCTGGCACTTGCTAGATTTCCATGATTATATTTTTCTATCGACTGGATTCCTGGTGCTTCAGTTGCACTAAAATCACCGCCAGAAAGTGGACAACTCAGCTGTTGTATTGGTTTTGTGGGCACTGGTGAATTGCTCTCTGCCAATTGAGTCACTGGCCCAGGGGATTTGCATTGCTGACCCGAGGTACCAGGAGAACTGAGGTCCACGTACAATGGCTGAAATTCAGTCACTTTGTCGTTGGACTTTATTTCAGGCGGGATCTTTTTCTGGACGGTTTCATTTGCAGATGCGGAAGGTCTCGGAATCACTGTTGGAGCCTCCAGCACAAACTGATCTGCTCTCTCCCATCCCGCTAGCTTTGATCTCAGAAGATGCTGAGTCTCTTCTCCTTTATTCCTGAAAGCAAACATCGTCAGTTTAATATCCTACTTCATTTTCAAAGTAATGGAGGGTAAGGTCCATTGAATTAGAAATTTAAAAACTTCCAGACTTCTGAATGACACAATTTCTACAACACCATTCTACTCAAGAGGAAAGATGACCAAAAGCGTGGTCAAAGAGGTAGGTCTCGAGGTGAACATTGAATGAGGTGAGGGAGCAAATCATAAGGACTTTAGGATGGGAGTTCTAGAAAATGGGGTCAAAAAGGCTGAAAGCGAGGGACGTGGAGAAGGCCAGTGATCATGGAGTATAAGGAAGGGAATGGTCGGTTTGGTAGCATTTGAGGAGTTTGCGGAGATAGGATGACGAGATAGTGGAGAGAATAAAACATTGTGTAGTTGAAAATCTCTGAAATTCATAAATATCTAAAATAGCTATCGAACACCAATACTAAGTGCAGTACCATTTGCACCCTTGCTTTCTCTCGTTTCCAATCTTTCTCTTAATTTTCCGGTTATAACAACATTACATTTGTATAGCGCCTTTCACTTCTGGAGGACGTCTTAAGGCACTGGATACATATAGGTTAGCACGAATATCATATGAGTCTAATGGGGGATATGGATGCTTATATGTTTTCCATTCCATTATCCCTTTAAAAGTGTAGAATGAAACAGGGTATATTATCATAGAATTATAGAATATTATAGCACAGAAAGAGACCATTTGGCCCATCCTGCCTGTGCTGGCTCTTTGGAAGAGCTTCCCAATTAGTCTCACTCCCCTGCTCTTTCCCCATATCCTTGCAATTTTTTTTCAAGTACTTATCCAATTCCCTTTTGAAAGTTGTTACTGAATCTGTTTCCACCACTTTTTCAGGCAATGCAATCCAGACCGTAACAACTTTCCTTGTAAGAAAAAAAATTCTCATCTCCCCTCTGGTTCTTTCACTAATTATCTTAAATCTATGTCCCCTGGTTACCGACCCACCCACCAGTGGAAATAGTTTCTCCTACCTACTCTATTAAAGCCCCTCCTAATTTTGAACAACTGTATTAAATCTTCCCTTAACTTTCTTGAAGGAGAACAATCACAGCTAAACGACAAGAGAGTATTTAGCATACTGGTTGGCACGCACACTAAACAAACCAATCAACCATGAAGGCATAAATTATACTCTGCTGACTCATTTATCGATCAGTCACCAAACTGAGCCTTGCTCATATACATTATATACTTACTCAATCCAAAGTATCATGTCTTTCTTCTCTCCCTGTTTCAGGTTACCAAAGTGAATGGTCTTTGTAACTTCCAATCCTCCTTTGCTGGAGAATAACTGAAAATCGATTTGCTCGAGTTCTGCATTTGCCTTCTGAGGAGCAACTGAAAAACTGAAAAATAGTCAATAGAGGAAAGTGTCAGTGCTGAAAACTAATGTTTCATTATCAGTAGTACTAATAGTACCGTATTATTAATCATAAACAAAAATCCTTGTATTTGGTACAGCATATATCAATCACATCAGGAGAAGGTCTCAAGTGGTCCACAAGATTTGCTGTAAAGTGTAGTGACTGTGTATTCATTTTGTTCAGAGTCTTACAAACAGCCATGAAGTGAATGAATTTTTATATGGGGAATTGTTGACCAGAACTCTAGGAGAAACTGCCTTCTCTATTCAAGTAAAGCCATGATTGGGCCAGAAGAGGCAGGGACCTGAACAGGCAGACAAGACCTCAGTTCAAAGACTCATCCAAAGGATGTTGTCTTCAACAATGCAGCGTTCCCCCAGCAGTGCACTGGAGTGTCACTAAACTATGTGAATTCAAAGTCAGACTGAAGGGAAGTATACAGTAGTGTTCCCCAGGTGTCGGTATTTGGTCCAATGCTCTTTTGATGTACATAAAGGACTTGGGTATAAAGATCAAAATTTTGCAATGACACAAAACCTGGGAACGTGATAAACAGTGAGGATGATGGTAGCAGATTGTAGGAGGACATAGACAGACAGGTGAAATGGGCAGACACATGGCGGATGAAGTTAATGCAGAGAAATGTGAGGTGATGCAATTTGGGAGGAAGAATGAAGAGAAGCAGTATACACTAAATGATACAGTTCTAAAGGGGGTTCAGGAGCAGAAGACCTGGGGGTTCACATACACAGTCTTTGAAGGTGGCAAGACAGGTTGATAGAGCTGATACAAAAGCATATGGGATCCTTGGCTTTATAAATAGAGGCACAGAGTACAAAAGCAAGGAAGTTCTGCTAAACCCCTATACGTCATTGGTTAGGCCTCAACTGGAGTATTGTGTCCAATTCTGGGTACCAATCTTTATTTAGGTAGAATATCAAAGCCTTGGAGAGGGTCAGAGGAGATTTACCAGAATGGTACCACGGATGAGGGACCTTAGTTATGTGAAGAGACTATAGAAGCTGAAATTGTTCTCCTTAGAGCCAAAAAAGTTAAGGGGAGATTTAATACAAGTGTTCAAAATAATGAGGAGTTTTGATAGAGTAGACAGGGGGAAACTGTTTCCATTGGCTGGTGGGTCGGTAACCATGGGACATAGATTTAAGATAATTGGCAAAACAACCAGAGGGGGGATAAGGAGAATTGTTTTTACATAGAGAGTTGGATTGCACTGCCTGAAAGGGTGGTGGAAACAGATTCAATAACAAACTTTCAAAAAAGATTTGGATATGTACTTAAAAAGAAAAAAAATTGCAAGGATATGGGGAAAGAGCGCGGGAGTGGGATTGATTTGGATAGCTCTTCCAAAGAGCGGCACAGGTACGATGGACCGAATGGCCTCCTTCTGTGTTCTAATATTCTATTACAACTCCATTATTCTATTGGAACTCCATCCCACATTCCCTTTGCCTCGCTCCCTCCCTCCTTCAAGACACGGCTCAAAAGCCTCCTCTTCAACTGCGCTTTGGACCACTCTCCTACGCCCACTGCCCTCCACCCCCCTGATCCCAACCCCCCCACACTGCTTGGGTCCAAATTCCCTGGCTGTCCCGGGATGTCACATCCTCCCAATGTGAAAGACTCTGTACAGATGTAATTTTGTATTGTATTCTATAATTTATATTGGCCATTTTAGAGGTCGGCCATTTTTGCAAAGAAATGTCAGGGTCTATATCCTAAGGGGGTTGCTATAAACAAATCCATGTTGTAATGGGGATCAATAGTAGCCGATAAATCGGCCAATTTTCCCCAGTACTTTAAGTTTCTGCTCTAGAAGGCAGCAATGCGGAAGCTCCACGATGGTCATTCAATTTCCCGTAAAGGTCACTCCAATTTAAACTTCATTTTGTGTTTAAACTAATCCTTACTCGAAGGATGGCTTGACCCCAACTGTTACCACCTAAACTCGTTTTGAGAAGATATTGCATTTGTTACAGAGGTTTGGGAGTCCATTTGCCCATTAAACTGGAGAGAACAGCACTTCAGTGTGAGCTGGCGTGCAATCTCATTCCAGATATACAGTATTAGGAGTTAAAATAAGGGACATTTTAGATCAGTTTGAAGAACAAAAGCTGCTCTGCACAATTGAAATGAAAGAAAAACCAATCATAAATCACACTATAATGGGGAATCAATATGCTTCTAAGTTACAAGAAATAATAATCCTTGCATTTGATATAACGCTTTTCCCGTCTTCTAGACATCTCAATGCGGTTCACAGAATATACCGTTAAGTGAATTGACTGTATATTTTGTAGATGAAACGCATAGTGGATGACAGATGTAAGCAGGATATAATTTGATACGGGATAGCAAGTCAAATGGCTAAATGTGATATGATGCGGAAAGAAACAGTAGGCATAACAATTTATTGTTTTACACACTTTATCAAAGCATATGCAATAAGGCGAGTCCCGTGTCCAACTTTTTCTGTTGTCAGCAGATCTCAAAGCACTTCACAGGATTTACTGTAAAGTGTAATGACTGCCTATTTTCAGGTGAACACGGCAGGCTATTTTGCACAGCACTGCATCGGAGTATCAGCCTTGATTAAGTGCTCAAAAGCTTGGCATGAGAAGTGCCGATTTGAACCCACAACCATTTGTTTAAAAAAAATTCTGATAATACATCAGGGGAAGATTTTTGAAATCAACACTAAATTATAGACATGACCATTCACATTGGTGCATTGGTGGAATGCACGTTAATTCATTATAACTGGCCTTGTTTTACGTAAACAAAATATGTCCTCCACAGTTTTACACTTCTATAGCACCTTTCGTCTCAGAGAACATACGAAAACCATGAAGCAAATGAGCAATTTTATCAGGGGGATTTGTTGGCCGTGACACTGGGGGAAACTCAATTTGTCTTTTCAATAGAGTCATGGGATCTTAAACATCCACCTGAACAGGCCACAGATTTAATGTCTCATCCAAATGATGTCACCTCTGACAATGCAGTGCTCTGCCACTGGAGTGTCATCCTAGATAGAGTGTGAGATCAAAATCTCGTTGTGGGGACTCGAGCAACCTTCTGAATCAGGGGAAGGAGTACTACCAACTGAGTCAGGCCGACCGTGAAGTCATTCGGCACCCGTTCAGTAAAAACTGGTAATAGCTACTTTGTCATACCTTTTGGTATCCATGGGGGCCATGCACAGGGCTCGCCACGAATATAACGACTGATTACTTTCGATGATCACAAGGTTCACCCAATCATCTTTGTGGGGTAAGTAATTGTTGGGCAGTCTGACTGAATCCAGAGTGAAGATTATATCATCATCAACCACACCACTTCGATGAAAGATTCTGGTTATCTGAGCCTGTATATAGGAAATACGGTAACTGGGTTGGTAAAACTGATAATAATCCTTGAATTTGATAGTCTTTGATGTCAGGAGGGTATCTTAAAGAGCTTCACTGGATATATTGCACCGTGTGGCGACGGTGTGTTTTGTAGCTAAATGCCACAGCTAATTTGCACACAGCAATTCCCACAAAAAACATAAAATTAAATAACCAATGTGATCAGAAAGGTAGGATTGTTAGCCAGGACACAAAGTGGAAACTTTAATAGGCAGATGGGATCTTGGTTCAACATCTCATTCCAAGGACAGCACCTCCAAAAATGCAGTACCCCATCACCAATACATTGGAGTGTCATCCTAGGCTTTGAGTTCAAAGTTCCAACCCACATCATTCTGACTCAGATGTGGGAGTAATTACCAACCAGACTAACACTTGTTGAACTATGTAGCAACTTTGAAATATGCCCGTTTCAATCTTGTAACATGCAGGACAACCTGATATTTAATGTGGTCAATATGGGTCCAATATTTAGTATTTTAAGCGGAGGCAACTAGGACCTGCACTAACATCCCCGACTTCCAGGTCATCAGGATGCGGCCAGGGTCATTTCTCTTAGCTGTGATTGCACAAAGCAGGACGTGACTTCAGCAGCAATCTGATGACCTGGACGTTGTTTTTTTAAAAAATAAAGTGCAGGAAGCTAAAAGATCTGACTTCTGGGTCAACAGTTCTCCACCTAGGGCCCTCTTGTACACTGTATTTGCAGCATGTAGGAAATGACATTGATGGCGACCTAATCATAGAATTATACAACACCGAAAGAGGCCATTCGGCTCATCATGTCCATGCTTGCTCTTTGAAAGAGCTGTCCAAATTAATCCCATTCCCCCGCTCTCTCCCCATAGCCCTGCAAACTTGTCCTCCCCAAATATTTATATACTTCTCTCTTGAAAGTTGCTATCGAATCGGCTTCCACCACCCTTTGAGGCAATGCATTCCAGATCTGAACTCGCTGTGTGAAAAAATTTCTCCTCACCTCCCCTCTAGTTCTTTTGGCAACTATTTTAAAATAGGTGTCCTCTGGTTATTGACCAACCCATCAGTGGAAACAGTTTCTCACTGTTCACCCTCTCCCCTCATAATTTTGAACACCTCTATTAAATCTCCCCTTAACCCTCTCTGCTCCAAAGAGAATAATCCTAGCATCTCTAGCCTCTTCTCATAACTGAACGCCCTCATCCCTGTATAATGTACTTATAATCCAAACTGCATTGTAAAGTAGTATTTTAATAACTACGTTAATATATTTAATAATCATATAAATGCTGTTAACCTCCCAATCAGAAACATTCATGTCTATTTCAGTCATTCTAAGCACTGCTTAAAGCTAAGGTCTCAGCTCCCCTTCAAATACTCTTGCGATTAAAGACGCTTAATATATTGAAAAGTTGCTAGGCCACTTACATATCCACTTGTGGAGCAGCAACCTTGAAAAGCTGCATTACATTAACAGGATTTCAGAGCATCTTTTATCATTTCCCTATTTGGGATTTCCTTTTATTATCATTTATGCTTAATGTCATCTGTTCTGCTGATTCCTCATAACTAAAGTGACCTGGGGTGCACACATATAGGGAAAGAGTACATAGAGTACATAGAGTCTTGAGTAGGTAGTTAAAAAGTGGACTAATTTTCTCACTGAAGCCTCTATTGGGGGGAAAACAGGGGAGGAATCAATCTGGTGAGAATAAAATGTGAATCGCCAACTGCGCAATCATATTGAGGGATTAGTTTTTGTTAAATTACATCTTATTGCATAACTTCAAAAATGTATAATACTCACCTTATCTACCCTTTTGTATCTAAGTGGCTTGACACAACATGCTTGACTTTTCCAAGTAGCTTGATCAATAAAATATTGTGCCTGTATCCAATCACCTTTATAGGGTTTGTAGCCTGTAATAAAAATAATAATAATCATCCTTGCATTTGATATAGTGCTTTATTGTGTCATTGATGATAAGGTTGGGCAAAATTTGTTTATCGTTGCTTTACAATTGATTTACCTTGGGCAAATTTTCTTACTCTACACACCTCTGTTCACTTGAGTTATGAGGAATCAGCAGAACACATGACATTAAGTATAAATATTAATGAAAGAAAATCCCAGGCAGGGAAATTATAACCTTAGCTTTATGATCCCCCTACCTTTGTGACCTCCTATCAAGCTGCTCGCTCCCTCCACTCCATGGGCTCTGACCTGCTCCGTGTCTTGCCCGCCCCACCATTGGCGGACTGGCCTTCAGCCACTCTGCGCCATTCCTCTGGAACTCCATCCCACAATCCCACCGCCTCGCCCCCGTCCCTTGCCTCCTTCAAGACCCATCTTAAGACCCTTCTCTTCGACAGTGCCTTCCCCTCTCTGCCCTCCACGATCCTGAAAGGTGCTATACATATGTAATTTTGTTGTTGTTGAGACGCCTCAAACGCTTCACAGAATATATTGTAGAGTGACTGTATTTTGTGGGCGAAACGCGGCAGCCAATTGTTCACAGTAGTGTTCCACAAACAGTCATGGATTGAGTGATCAGTTGTTTTTTGAGGAATTATTACCCCCAGAAAGTGATACGACAATCGATTAACAACCGGGTTCCAACTTACTGCAAGGTAAACCGAGGTGTGTAAAGTAAGGAAATTTGCCTAAGGTAAATCAAGCGTGAAGCAAAGATAAAGGATTTTTGCCCAAACTGTACTGAATAGACCAGATGAAATTTAAGTTTGATATACAGTAATCTCTAAATCACTTGCGTCAATTGTCAGAAATAACATTATCCAAATGAGATGCAGCTCAGAAGCCAACCAATGTTCAGAGCAAATTAAGTCAGAGCAACCATGCCGATTTCAGAGTTCATTTATAATCAGTGGGCTTGTATGCACTGGGAAATGGATTCAGTAGATCAAAGCTTATTTCTCTTAGGTCCAGTATAGCCATTGTAAAGAGATGACCTTTAGTATCATCAACACATCAACACGGGCTGCGTTCAAACCAGATGCTAAGGGAGAATTTATCAACCCATTTTACCAAGTAATTACTTGAGTTTGTAAAACTTTGTTAACACTTTTCATTGCGATTCTGTCTGAGAGTAACACTCTACACTGGAATCGACCACACAATTGATTTGGACAATAGCTTGCTTCTATATAACACCTGATGGTATTTACAATATTAATCCTTGCGTTTGATATAGCGCCTTGTCACATCTTTGAGACCTGACAAAGATCTTCACAGAATATACTGTAAAGTGAGTTGACTGTATATTTTGTGGGCGAAATGCGGCAGCCTATTGCGCACAGCAGTGTCGTACGAACAGTTGTGGATTGAGTGACCAAAGTATTATTATTTTATTGAAAGGATTATTACCCCCAGAAAAGTGATCCACTAATCGACTAACAACTGGGTTTTTACTTATTGCTAAGTAAACAGAGGCGTGTGGAGTCCCGCAGCTCAGTATTTAGAGCACTCGCCTTGCAAGCAAGAGACCTGGGTTTGATTCGTGGCAGGGCGAAACCTTGGGCAAGTTTTCTCACTCCACACGCCTAATAATAATCCGTTAAGAAACAATAAATAAAATTGGTCACTTCAATCCACGACTGTTTGTGGGACACTGCTGTGCGCAATTGGCTGCCACATTTTCCCCACAAATATACCGTCAATTCACTTTACAGTATATTCTGTGAAGCGTTTCGAGATGTCTAGAAGATGTGAAAAGCGCTATATCAAATGCAAGGATTATTATATTATAAACTTGCCCAACGTTTCGCCCTGCCGGGAATCGAACCCAGGTCCTCTCACCTGCGAGGCAAGTGCTCTAACCACTAAAATACAGGACGACACGTGCAATTTTGATGCAGCGGATTCTTATTTGGTATACGTGACATCAAAAGGACTGGATAAACTAAGTTAGCTTTTTGAAGTACTAGGATATTCACCGTCACAAACATCAGCCATGAGGAAGTAGGTTGTGTCGTTAATGTAGCCACTATAATTGTTACATGAAGTGATGCTGCCAATTAAGGTACTTGGCTCATTTCTACAGGGAAGGCCTATGTAGGTGTCACTGGTAATATCCTCGTCCCACTCGCGAGTTACAGGTTCCACCTGCAACAAAAACAGGCACAGAAAATCAAAGAGATTCTTTATTTTACTCTTCTACAATAGCTACTGTGTTCATCCATGTGGTTATAACGAAGAAAATGGTGATTTTCCTTAGATTGATCTGCATGGAAAGCATGGCAATGCCTGGCTGTTCTGAGCTAAGCTGAAGGCAACTTCGATCCTTGAATCAGCCTCCCTGGCTCATTCACCAGACTTGGCAGTGCAGACATACCTTCAATTCTGCAAGCCAGAGACTGGATGGTCGACTTAGTTGGCCAAGATCATGATCACATTTGTGTATTATTAAAGAAACACCTGTATATATTGTGCAATCAAAACTTGCGCGTCAATATTTTGAAGTAATTATGTTTCATTAAGCATAACTGTAATAATAATACTTGCATTTGATATAGCGCCTTATGACATCATTGAGACATCTCAAAATGCTTCACAGAATATACTGAAAAGTGTAGTGACTGTATTTTGTGGGCGAAAAATCAGTAAACAATTTATTAGGACACATTGTTCGGGTCTCGTCTGGTTTGGAAATTGTAACAGCAGAGTAAGTTTCTAAACCTTAATCTAATGGATCTTGTCATTAAAGGACTTGATGAAAACATGGGAACAGTTTATGAAGTGCTGTTGAAGTCTAACACTAGTTTACTGCCTTCAACTCTCTGCCAATGCCTGCACATCTGCAAGTGAGCAATATCAGATGTCAACAGAATATTTGTTACATGGGAAATAGACAAACAATTCATCCAAAAAATTCCATCAGTTTTTAGTGCTATGTTCTGAGACTCAAAATAAGCAGTGTTATACTAATTTCAAAAAGAAAACCTTTAACATTTTAACTAACACATTGTTATTTTGATGTTTCGATCTATCATCTCTCGATGCTGTCATTCCTTACACAAAATACATCTATAGATAAATGGCAATTTAAAAGTGGACGTTCACTGCACAGTAAGCTTGCTCGATTTTCTCTGGCATGCAAAATAGACACTTCTTCTCACTGTCAATGAAGGTATATATCCCATACTGCTGTATTTGTGCACTGCCTGCCCAAACTTTCATTTCACTGTTACAATAGTGAGTAAATGTGGAATCACTGTTAATTGTATTAGATTCAGCCTGGCTCAGTTGGTAGGACTCTATCTTCTGAGTCACAAGGATGGAGGTTCAAGCGCAACCAGACTTTGAACACACAGTCAAGGCTGACGCTCCTGTACAATGCTGGGGGGAGTGCTCCATTGTTGGAGGTACCGTCCTTCAGAAGAGATGTCAAACCCAAATCCTATCTGCCTGTTCAGGTGGACGTAAAGGTCGCATTACACTACTCAAAAAGAGAAGGGAGTTTCTCCCGGTGTCACGACCGACAATCCTCCACATAAACATTGGTCATTTACTTAATGGCTGTTTGTGGAACATTGCTGTGTGCAAATTGGCTGTCGTGTTCACCTACAGATGCACAGTCACTACACTTTTTAGTAAATCCTCTGACACACTTTGAGATGTTTTGATGATGTGTATATCAAATGTAAAGATTATTATACCTTTTAGACCACTACTTTTAGTAGAAGAAAGCACAATTTAACTTGGAATGTGCAAAAGGAAGTGAACCAAGGGAAGGTATCCCATGGCACTGGACTACAGGAAAAGGAAAAAATTATTTTGGAGAAAAGTAATCAAAGAAAGAAAGCAACAGTCCTGAGAAGAGGCAAGAGGCACTCTTGAATCGACCAGTACCAAGAGTCGTCTTACAAAAGTGATATACATTCAGCAGTGACATTGATTGAATACATGGAGTTGGGACACTTTTATCTCAACATTGTTTAAGGTATCTGGGTTGAAACAAAACATTAATTGTAAAAGACAACCAGGAGCTGAAAGGACACAAACATGTATCATTTGGACAGGATAAATGTATCAAACATCAGTCATCAAAGGATTGTTGGAAAATTATTGCAATGCATTCATAATGTGGTGCATCCAAACAGATAGCAACACAGAAAGATTACCACGATAATGGTCTGTTTTCAATTGTCTCAAGTTCAACCTCAATCAGCACAAAAGTATGGGATATGAAACAAAATCAATGTTTTTAGTTCCTGGACTAAAGTTTAGTTCTGCAAGTGGATTCCATAACCAACTACTTCTACCAATAATCAGGTTTAGCTCAGTTTCACATTAATATCTAGCAGTCAGACCTTAATCACAGCTCCCATCTTCTCTCAGCTTTGCTGCCCCCCTCTTCTACAGGATCATCTAAGACACTTGCAGATGTGTCTTAGGATCGTTTAAGACATCCTCCGGGTCTTAGACACATCTTTTCTTTTTATAATCTCCCACTATTGCCTTCTTTTGACTTGCACCATCAACACCTGTTAGAATTTACACTTTTTGTATAATCGTAGAATCATAATAGATGTTGCGAACGGGTTAACTTTTAAGTTAAGTGTGGGGGGCAACTGGACTGACACTCATGATTAACACTCAAGAGCAACAAAAGGCAACCCTCAAGAATAGCAATTAATGAGCAAGTTGCTTAAACTAGAGGACCTTGGTACCATCCCGGGATACTGATAAGAAATATCCAGTCACTTAAAAGGAATGTACTAATGATCCCACACTTCAAAATAATGAGCACCAGATACAGCCCTAAACTGATCAATTCTCTATCTTAGACAATTAGATCAGATAACAGGAGTCTTAAGGACAATGTGTATGTGGGCTGAGGCACATACACCCCATGAGATGTTCGCGTGAACCCAGTATGATTTCGACCGGGTGATCTAATGTCCGCACCATGATTGGACGAACATCGGTATAAGAGTTCCGATAACTTTGTGTACGGGGCCGTCTCGGGTCGTGGAGACAAGGATACGGGAGATGGGGCCGTCCCGGGCTGCGGAGACAAGGGTACGGGAGATGGAAGACAGAGCTAGAAACACTAAGACTGAGGATATCAGATGGAAGATTGAAAGCTGTAAGCAAGAAGACTGAAAGCACGAAGAATCAAGCTTGTGTGCTGGAAAGACACAGTGTTGAACTCGAGATATCTACAACAACAAGATTCCATTTATAGAGCGCCTTTCACATCGGAAGGATGTCCCAAGGCGCTGTACAGTTGGGTCAGGACCCAAGCAGGGGGGAAATGGTCAGGGGGAGGGGAGGGAAGGGAGGGAGCGAGGAAGGGGTAGAGAGTTGAGAGGGGAGCTGAAGGCTCGGTCAAAGAGAAAGGTCTTGAGACCGGCCTTGAAGGAGGAAAGGGAGGAGGCGGCGAAGGCACTGGGGGATGGAGTTCCAGAGCCTCGGGGCTGAGAGGCTGACGGCCCGACCACTGATAGTAAGGCGGTTGGGGCGGGGGATGTGTAGGAGACCGGAGCCAGAGGAACGGAGGGTACGGGCAGGTAAGTAGGGGGATAGTAGGTCGGAGAGGTAGGAGGGAGCGAGGCCGTGAATGGCCTTGTAGGTGAGGATGAGGATCTTGAAATCGATCCTCTGGGGGATGGGGAGTCAGTGGAGGCGAGCGAGGGTGGGAGTGATGTGGTCCTGAAGCCTGGTGCGGATCTAAGATCTGATGATTGTACCAGCCTTTGGTCTGACCCATCGGGATATTGGGGAATAACGAACGAATAATAATAAAACAGACAGATATCTGATTAAAGGAATTAGTGTTATTTCCTTACAGATTTGGCTGATTTTATTTTCTAACAATTTGGGATGCGGCAGGATACTCTGAATTAATACATTTGGCAGTTGACGTGTTTAGGAGTCCGGTACGATCGTAACTAGTAAATAGTTGGGATAGTTGGGAATAGTTGGCCGTGGTACTCGCAGAAATTAGGAGTCTGGTACGACCGTAACTAGTAGATAGTTGGGACGGTGGCCGTGGTACTCGCAGAAATTATGTGTCCGGTATGATCGTAACTAGTAGATAGTTGGGACGATGGCCTTGCCTGCGGGCAATTAACCGAGTGTATTAATCCATTGGGATTCTGAGTATTAAAGAACCAATATAATCCATTCGAGCGAGTGTCTCTTATTTAGATTTTCTAACACACCTGTCCTCCACCTAAATATTTCCTTTGTCTTTCTTTCTGCGCCCCCTTCTCTGCTTGCCCTGATAAACTGCTCCCTTCCAATATCCCCCAGTCATAGACCTGAGACGCATTTTCCTCTCTCCATAGATGCTGCCTGACCAGTTGCATGTTCCCAGCGACTTCTGTTTTTATTGCACATTAATATATATTTGAAGATAAAATATTAATGACAAAAATAGAGATCTTGTCATTGCTTTTTTAAATCCCTTTGACGATTAACAAAAATATTGCTATTTGCAGCATTGTCAGTTAGACCTTAAATATATCAGAAATCATATCAGACATCACAATTCATCCACTTTCATGATTACTCTTCATACTTTAAAAAAATAACTGCACTTCATTAAATGTCCCTGTTCAGAATTCACAATTTAAAAATATAGCATCAGAAGAAGTTTTTAAGATCATGGCATATCTTTCAATCCCATTTCCTCTTTTCTTCTGCTTATCCCTTCATAATCTTATCTCACAAGCAGTATGGAATTTTTTACTGAACTTTAAAACACGCCTTTCAATAGATCACTGGTGTATATTGCAGAAAAATAAGATTGCTCTCTCCAGCTGGTCCTACCTTTAATGCTTTCCAGCCTCCAGAAGTTGCATTCTTTTGGGCTATAACGTTCACTTTCTGGCCAATTTGCAAAGGCATCCCCCCAGCACCAAGTCAGGAGTGAAGTAGATGAAGTCATTGACCAAACCATAGTCACCACAAAACCTTGTCACTGTGCCTTTGTGCACATTTGTGTACTCTGTGCAGTCTAGGGGAAAAAATATCAACAAGTCAGTCATATTAGACATCACTTTCATGATTATTCTTAATACAAGTACATTTTTTTTACAAAAAAGCAATTAATCACACTCTCAAGTCAAAGAGAAGTACTAAATGGATTTAATATAAATAAAAGGTAATGGAGAAAATAGATTAGACAAATCTCCAGGACCTGATGGATTCCACCCCAGGGTATTAAAAGAAGTAGGGGAGGAAATTACAGATGCATTAATCATCATTTTCCAAAGTTCTCTATATTTGGGAAAAATGAAAGCTCATGGAATTGGAAGTAACCTTGCAACGTGGCTTGGTAATTGGTTGGGAGGCAGGAAACAAAGAGTAGGGATAAAGGGAACGTTCGCTGATTGAAGGGACATGACAAATGGTGTTCCCTAGGAGTCTATACTGGAGCCTCAGCTTTTCACCAAAGATATATATACAATACACATATATATTATATAATATATTAATATATATCACACACATATATATTATAAAAATTTGCAGGCGACAAAGTTAGGAGGCACAGGAAATGGTGTAGATGGGAGCAGAAAGTTACAAAAGGACTTAAGGCAGATTACATAAATGGGCAAAACTGTGGCAAATGGAATTCAATGTGGGGAAGTGTGAGGTCATCCACTATGGATACAAAAACAGCAGAACAGAATTTGGGAATCTGGAACTTGCTCAACCAAACGACTGTGGATCCATTCACATTTTCAAGAATGAGGTGGATAGATATTTGTTAGGTCAGGGTATCAAGGGATATGGGGCAAGGGTGGGTGATTGGAGTTGAGGTACAGATCAGCCATGATTTTATAGAATGGTGGAACAGGTTTGAGGGGCTGAATGGCCTACTCCCGTTTCTATATCTCAAAATTCACCTTTTTTTCCCCGAACCCTAGGCTCACCCCCAGTTCGAGTGCCCATCAGAACTGTCAAGCGCTTTGAGATGTCCTCCCGACATGAAATTATATAGTATCCAGATTAACTGATATGTTTTGGGGAATTAGCTGGTGAAAATGGTAGTGCCTACAAAATCTACAGTAGACAGTAATGACTTATGAAGCACTTTGAGTTGTTTTGACAATAAGGCACTTTTAAAATGCAACTTCTTATTTGCTAACAATAATGTGATATCTCATTGATACTAAGGTGACAGTCTGATAAGAGGCATTGTTTCACACAGTATCAATTTAACAACTCTCTCCAAAGAGCCTGCATCAGTGCCACTGACACTTAATGTATGATTACTAAATATGATAAGCCTTTTTTTCTTCTGTAAATATAATGGCTTTGGGATAAGAATCTAGTACCTGGATCTTCGCAATTATCCTCTTCAGAGTCATCCACTGTTCTCCACAATAATCCGAACGTTTTCGACACAAGGGAGAGCATTGTAGTGTTTTCTTTATTTAAAATGATCTAAATAGATTGAGACAGAAAGTTGATACTGACAAATGGCAGATGGTCAGATAAGTCATTGCACATTTTTTTGTGATGAATTGTTTTCAGTCTCAGAAACGGAATAAAAAAAAGTACATTTATTGTTTGTGCCTAACAGTGTGCCAGATTGTTACACTTTACTCCATATCAAATAGATGTAAAAAGGTTTAAAAAGAATGTTCCAAAGTGACGATTGTAAAATTGTCTCGGCTCTAAATACAGTCACTCTACAGTCAATCCTGTGAAGCGTTTTGAGATGTTTCAATGAAGGGACAAAGTGCTATAATCAAATGAAAGATCATTATTACATCAAATTATTACACTATAAACTACCTTTTAAAGACAGCCCCTCCTGCTTTGATGCGTAAAAATAAATGCTGAATTACCCTAGTCCAATCAATACTAATCTTCACTCTCCTATTAGCTAAAACAATGCTCCAAAGACAATCTTTTTAAACAAATCAAACCATTCTTGAAACAACAATATTCTCCCTCCTACATACAAACTGGGCATTGGGAGCCAAGAGGAAGAATGTAAAACAAAAAGGGATTTAAATGTTACATGGAAGAAAAATGAAAAGAATGATGAATGAGGCAGAAAAAGATAGTTGAACACTCTTTTAAAAAAAGCAGAGAGACAGAAATAAAAATAAACCAGAACAACAGTATATTTATCTCATTCACCGGGCTTCTGAGATACACTTATCTCACATTCAAACCAACAACTCAACTCCAAAGGTGACCCTCCTCTCCCTCCCCCATTCCTACGAGGAGAGTCAATTAGTTTGTCAGTTGTTTAAATTGAGATGAAACCACTTTTGATATAAAATCTGCTGTTGCTTGTTGTAGTGCTCTGTTTCTGCTACTAGGTGGTGCAGTGGCAGAAATGAGAATTGATTAACTATCCAAGTATGCACTGAGCTCCAGAAGGTTTAAGGCAAAGAATATCAACTCCCAGAATAACAAGTCCATTGCACTTTAAAGTTGAAAATTGTGGAAAATTGCAGAAATTTCTGAAACAACAAGTCCTACTTTCGCAGTGACAATGCCAGTAAACAAAAAACTAATGGCCTCCACATTTAGATGCTCCAGAAATAAAAAAAAGTTTTCAACCTTTGCTTTAATTCCTTCGAGAAGCCCTCTGTAGTATAGAATTGCAAGGAAATTACAAGAAGGAATTCCTTAAAAAATATATTTTCACTTTCAAATCCTTCAAAGGTCTTGTCCTACCTGCAACCTCCTTCAATCACACCAACCAAGCCACTCCCTTCATTCAGCAAACGCTGGTCTCAAGACCATCCTCTTCAACCACACCTTCAGTCACCCTCGTGTCCTCCACCCCGCTCTCCACCACCCTCACTGATCCCAAATTCTCCCGCTCAGGTCCACATCCCTGATCGTCCAGGGCCTTGGGACATCCTTGTGATGTGAAAGGCACAATACAAATGTAATTTTGTATTGTGTTGCTTCAAATCCTCCACCATGTCCACTCCACCACTGGCAGGTGGGCTTTCAGCTCCTCTGCTCCTGGATCTGTAGAACTCCTTCCTGGAGTTATTCCAGCTCACTCCCCCCCTCATTCAAGTTCCATCTCAAGACCTATCTCTTTGCCTGCGCTTTCTGTTATTTTTCCACTCCTTTTGCTCTCAATCTTACAATCACACTCTCTCTTGCTCACTCAGTCGCCCAACCACTCTACTCTCTCTCTATTAGTCACTCTTACTCATTCAACTACCTTCTGAGCTCCTTGCTTTCAATTCTCACTCTCACTGCCACACTCTCTTACTCACCAAGATGCTATGCCCTTTGCTCTCATTGTTTCTCTCTCTAATTCATTCTCTCTCTCTTTCTCACTCTCTCTCTCACTCAGTCTCTCACTCACTCTCTCTCTGTCTCACTCTTTCTCTCACTCAGTCTCACTCCCTCTCTCACTCTCTCTCTCTCTCTCTCTCTCTCAGTCTCACTTTCTCAGGCCGGCTGACCTAGCCAGTGGCCGGCCGACCTGGCCAGTGGCCGGCCGACCTGGCCAGTGGCCGGCCGCTCCGGCCAGTGGCCGGCCACTCCGGCCAGTGGCCGGCCGCTCTGGTCAGTGGCTGCTCTGGTCAGTGGCTGGCTGGTCAGTGGCTGGCTGCTCTGGTCAGCGGCTGGCTGCTCTGGTCAGTGGCGGGCTGGTCAGTGGCTGAGCTGGTCAGTAGCTGCTCTGGTCAGTCGCTGCTTTGGTCAGTCGCTGCTTTGGTCAGTGGTTGAGCGGGTCAGTGGCTGAGCTGGTCAGTGGCTGAGCTGGTCAGTGGCTGGCGGTCAGTGGCTGCTGGTCAGTGGCTGCTCTGGTCAGTGGCTGCTCTGGTCAATGGCTGAGCTGGTCAGTGGCTGCTCTGGTCAGTGGGCTGGGCTGGTCAGTGGCTGCTCTGGTCAGTGGCTGCTCTGGTCAGTGGGCTGAGCTGGTCAGTGGCTGGCTGGTCAGTGGGCTGGGCTGGTCAGTGGCTGGCTGGTCAGTGGCTGAGCTGGTCAGTGGCTGAGCTGGTCAGTGGCTGAGCTGGTCAGTGGCTGGCTGGCTGGTCGCTGGCTGGCTGGTCAGTGGCTGAGCTGGTCAGTGGCTGGCTGGTCAGTGGGCTGGGCTGGTCAGTGGGCTGAGCTGGTCAGTGGCTGGCTGGTCAGTGGCTGAGCTGGTCAGTGGCTGGCTGGTCAGTGGCTGAGCTGGTCAGTGGCTGGCTGGTCACTGGCTGGCTGGTCACTGGCTGAGCTGGTCAGTGGCTGCTCTGGTCAGTGGCTGAGCTGATCAGTGTCTGAGCAGTGTCTGGCTGACCTGGTCAGTGTCTGAGCAGTGTCTGGCTGGTCAGTGTCTGACCTGGTCAGTGTCTGACTGGTCAGTGTCTGGGCTGGTCAGTGTCTGGGCTGGTCAGTGTCTGACCTGGTCAGTGTCTGGCTGGTCAGTGTCTGACCTGGTCAGTGTCTGGGCTGGTCAGTGTCTGGGCTGGTCAGTGTCTGGGCTGGTCAGTGTCTGGCTGGTCAGTGTCTGACCTGGTCAGTGTCTGGGCTGGTCAGTGTCTGGCTGGTCAGTGTCTGGCTGGTCAGTGTCTGGGCTGGTCAGTGTCTGGCTGGTCAGTGTCTGGGCTGGTCAGTGTCTGGCTGGTCAGTGTCTGACCTGGTCAGTGTCTGGCTGGTCAGTGTCTGGCTGGTCAGTGTCTGGGCTGGTCAGTGTCTGGCTGGTCAGTGGCTGCTGTGACCTGGTCAGCGGCTGCTCTCCTCTCATCCTTTCCGGCCGCTCTGACGTCACAACGGCTCCTCTTCTGACATCACAATGGTCGCCGCTCCGTCGGCAACAAGTGGCAAATTGGCGGCGGATGTGGGACTGAGCGTCAGCGGCCGTCAGAGGCCCACGTGCAGAGTGAGCAGTCACAGCCCCTCCCCTCCACAGCCCCGCCCCTCCTCCCTCCACAGCCCCTCCCCCTTCCACAGCCCCGCCCCTCCTCCCTCCACAGCCCCTCCCCTCCACAGCCCCTCCCCTCCTCCCTCCACAGCCCCTCCCCTCCTCCCTCCACAGCCCCTCCCCTCCTCCCTCCACAGCCCCTCCCCTCCTCCCTCCACAGCCCCTCCCCTCCTCCTCCACAGCCCCTCCCCTCCTCCCTCCACAGCCCCTCCCCTCCACCCTCCACAGCCCCTCCCCTCCACAGCCCCTCCCCTCCTCCCTCCACAGCCCTTCCTCTCCTCCCTCCACAGCTCTTCCCCTCCTCTCCCCTCCACCCTCCACAGCTCCTCCCCTCCTCCCTCCCCTCCTCCTCCCTCCACCTCCTCTCCCCTCCCCTCCCCTCACTCCACCTCCTCCCTCCCCTCACTCCACCTCCTCTCCCCTCCTCCCCTCCCTCACTCCACCTCCTCCCTCCCCTCCTCCCTCCACTCCACCTCCTCTCCCCTCCTCCCCTCCCCTCACTCCACCTCCTCCCTCCCCTCACTCCACCTCCTCTCCCCTCCTCCCTCCCCTCACTCCACCTCCTCCTCCCCTCCTCCCTCCACTCCACCTCCTCTCCCCTCCTCCTCCCCTCCCCTCACTCCACCTCCTCCCTCCCCTCCTCCCTCCACTCCACCTCCTCTCCCCTCCTCCCTCCACTCCACTCCTCTCCCCTCCTCCCTCCACTCCACCTCCTCTCCCCTCCTCCCTCCACTCCACTCCTCTCCCCTCCTCCCTCCACTCCACCTCCTCTCCCCTCCTCCCTCCACTCCACCTCCTCTCCTCCCTCCACTCCACCTCCTCTCCTCCCTCCACTCCACCTCCTCTCCCCTCCTCCCTCCACCACCTCCTCTCCCCTCCTCCCCTCACTCCACCTCCTCCCTCCACTCCTCCTCTCTTCTCCTCCCTCCTCCTCCTCCACTCCCCCCCCTCCCCTCTCTCTCCCCCCTCCTCCCTCCCCTCTCTCTTCCCCCTCCTCCTCCCTCGTTCCTCCTCCCTCCCCCCTCTCTCTCCCCCCTCCTCTTCCCTCCCCTCCTCTCACCCCCTCTCTCCCCCCTCCTCATCTCCCTCTCCACTCTCCCTCCCCTCCACTCTCCCTCCTTTCCACTCTCCCTCCCTCTCCTCTCACCCCTCCTCCTCCTCTCACCCATTCTCCTCTCTCTCTCCCCCCTCCTCCTCCTCTCTCCCTCTCCTCCTCTCTCTCACTTCCTCACTCTCCTCCTCTCTTCCTCTCCTCCCCTCTCTCTCTCTCACTCCCTCACTCTCCTCTCTCCCTCTCCTCCCCTCTCTCTCTCACTCCCTCACTCTCCTCTCTCCCTCTCCTCCCCTCTCTCTCTCACTCCCTCCTCTCTCCCTCCCTCCTCTCTCCCTCTCCCCCTCCCACCCCCTATGCTGACATTTTCAGTGTAACATTGATCCAAAGCTCACTTCGAACTTGTGTTTCTTGTTCCTTATTTCAGTGCCTCCACTCACTGCACCTGCGTTGGTTTTTTTCACATTAAAACACTTTCTACTCTCATAATGCAACGATTGCAGATAAAATTACACAATGTTGCATAGACATTGCCTTGGGATGTCCTCCCGACGTGAAAGGCGCTCTATAAATGGAATCTTGTTGTTGTTGTAGACTACAACATGGAAACACACACATATATATACACACATATAATAAATATGCCTCGACATAAATTAATCCCTGCCACTGCACCCTTGTTTTGGATTTTCCACCAAGTAGGAACAGTCTGGTTAATATACACCTTATCAAATTTTAACGCCTCTATTAAAGTAAGGTGTGTCTGATTTCCACAGATATTTCCTAGATGAGATAATGTGTCCCTGGTCAAATTTGCTCTGTCTTGAGTTCAGCAAACAAACAAGAATAAAATTCTGAAAGAGATACGCTCATCGGAGAAATACAGCCATTAATCCAATGGGCTTCTCCAGTACTATCAGCATCAGGAATTGTGGTGAGTTCAGAGATTGTGTTTTTGTTTAATTTTATTTATAATGTGTTCCCGAATTTGGTTTACAAAATATGGTTATTCTACTATAACCCTACTAAACCCTACAAATCACTAATCCGTCATCTCATTTCCAGAACGAAAAGTTCTAATCTATCGGGTCATTATTGACAGCCGTACCTACAATAACTACAAATTGCACTTATGTAGCACATAAGTTTCACAGAGGGATGACATCCCAAGTAAAGCTGATAAATCTTAATACATCTGCCCTGCACTCACTCCATTGCTGCAATACCCTTCTGGTATGGTGAGCAGAACTGCACACTTGTAATTGGGACGATTAGTAATTCAGTGTCAATTATAATAATAATAATAATAATAATAATCCTTGCATTTGATATAGCGCTTTTCGCGTCGGGAGGACGTCCCAAAGCGCTTCACAGAACACACTGTAAAGTGAATTGACTGTATATTTGTGGGCGAACGCGGCAGCCAATTGCGCACAGCAATGTCCCACAAACAGTCGTAGATTGAAAATGACCAATTTATTATTGGTTTTGGAGGGATTATTATTAGGCTCTGTGTGGAGTAAGGAAACTTGCCCAAGGTTTCGCCCTCTGCCTGGAATTGAACTCAGGTCTCTCACTTGCAAAGCGAGTGCTCTAACCACTGAGCACAGTTAGTCTAAATGGGGCATTATTGACCATTAGCAGAAAGATGTTTGCATGAAGCCAAGGTCTTGCAGAAAGATTCAGATACAGTGATTTAAATTGCCTTTTCTCATTCCCTATTTCAACTCTTTGCAAGGATTCACCTGACCTAATTGGATTTGACCAATAAAAATACTCCTTACATTTGGTAGAGCACATCTCATGTCAGGAGAACATCTCAAAGGGCTTTGCAGGATTTTCTGTGTCCTGAGTGACTATGCTGCGTGGGCAAACTCGGCAGACAATTTTCCACATAGCAATGCCCCACACAGTCAATTTGACTGACCAATTTTAATGAGGGATTCTTGGCCAGGATTGTTCAGCTAAAATAAAGTGCAGAACAACAACAACAAGATTCCATTTATAAAGCGCCTTTCACGTCAGGAGGATGTCCTAAGGCGCTGCACAGTTGGGTCAGGACCCGAGCAGGGGGGAAATGGTCAGGGTGAGGGGAGGGAAGGGAGGGAGCGAGGAGGGGGAAGAGAGTCGAGAGGGGAGCTGAAGGCTCGGTCAAAGAGAAAGGTTTTGAGACCAGCCTTGAAGGAGGAGAGGGAGGAAGCAAGGCGAAGAAAGAGTGTGACTTGACCTGAACTGAGCCGAGAGATTCTCCATGTTATTATTCAAAAAGCCACAACAGAGAAGCCACTGTGGGATGGTGCCTGATCAATGCATTAACACCTCGCCACCTGCATTTATTGACTGCCACCCAAGAACTGAGCTGTTGACCTCTCGTTTTTTTTCCATCCTCCCCTCCCTTATTCATTTTTTTTTCTCTTTGGTTTTAATTGTTAAATTCACTGATTCGTAGGATGTTGCTGATTACCTTTTGCTCGTGTCTACATAACATTTTCATATTAAGTACAGTAATTAAGTATTTATTTCCAGATGATCAGCCCATTTTTCAATTATGTTATTAAGTTTAGGTTTGTGATTCAGGTGAACATAAGGCGACAAATCTGCTGCTGCCATTTCAAAGATACGTGGAGTGTTTCTCCTGATTATTGGGATTTAAATTCACCTCCTAATTGAATTTTCCCCTCAAATGCAAATTAATTTGTTTCTCATCTTATTGTTATTTATAAAATGTTGCTAATGGGGATTAGCTGCAATGTTTACTTATGTAATATTATTGTGACTTGTGAAGTGCTTGAAGCGAAACAATTCTTGTGATCCTTTATATCGTAGTATACGGTCTGTTTTTCCATTATTGTCTGAGAGATTCTCATCCTCATCTATTATTTTTGGTGTTATTTAAAATACTTCAGGTATAATTAGAAGTCACTGTCCATTTTGTGTGAGGTGCACAAGAGTAGGCCAGGTTGATCACACTTTGCATGTTCTCAAAGCATTCTGGCTAAGATTGGGAACTTCACTTTGAGGGGAACCCGATTAATATTCACCCAGGTTTGCCACTGAGTTTGAAGATTGTGGGTTCAAGCTCCAAGCCAGGGTTTGAGATCATAATCCAATCCAGTACTGGTAGAGCACTGAGTTTTGGAGATACCATCTTTTGGATGACCTGTCCCATCTCCCTAGTCAGGTGGGACATTAAAGATGTATTATTTGAAAAATAGGAAGGAATTCCTCACAATGTCCTGGTCAATAGTGCTCGAGGTTGACTACTTGTGGTCCAAATGGCTGCAGCATTTACTTGCAAAAACAGTCACTATACTTGGGTGTTTTGATGTGAGAACAGCTATATTTAAAAAAAAACCTTTCTGGACCACTTCAGAGCTAAATGTACAAATATTTAAGGAATATGACCATATTCCATATACATATACATAAAATAATAATAATTTGGTCATTCAATCCACGACTGTTTGTGGGACTTTGCTGTGCACAATTGGCTGCCACTTTCCACCCACCAAATATATAGTCACTACACTTTGCAGTATATTCTGTGAAGAGCTTTGAAATGTCTCTACAATCTAATTAGGTGCTATATCAAATATAAGAATTATTATCATTCTGTTATTATAACAGTCAGTATCCATGGTGATGCAACACTTGTCTCAACTGTTTCTGTAATTTTGCTCATGTTTTTCTGGAAGTGATTGGAAAAAGTCCACATCATTGGTATTTGTCTTTTTTAAGATTTTATTCTCAAAAGTACCTAACTCTTTCAATTCTCTATTTGCATTAGTAAGAAATGTTAGGTACGTTAGTTGCAAAAGGCAAGAACTGTGCCTTTCCATCACAAGAAGTGGAAAGTTCACAAGCAACGTTTGTTAAACCGTTTAAAACTTCCAAAGTGATGCACGCTGTTAAGGTTTTTTTTTGCTCATTGTTCGTTTAACCATGATACCCACTGTTAACTAAAGATGTGCTTTGAATGTGCAATGATTTTGTACCAAAAACAAACCGTGTAATAATGCCTCTCAGCCACTGTAGCAATTTTCACCAAAGAAACACCAAATAAAGCCTAAATAGCCCTGTTGTTTCCTCGCATCTCAGATCCATATATTTGTGTGTTAAAGCAAGATTATCAAGAGAAATAAAAATTAGTGATCGTTGGGCTCTAGCTTCTTCTGCTCATTTAAATTCAGGATGCACTCCAGTCCTCTGGCTTTATTTCACTGTTTCTTAGCTGCGGCTTTGTTCCCAACCTGAATAGATTGTGCCCAAAGCCAAAGTTGATGAGCAAACTTTTGAAAGGAAACTCACTGCACTGTAAAATCTTCCAAAGCTGTTTTGAATGTGAGGATAGCTAGCTGCTGCACAACACGAGATCTGCTGCCAGTTCCATTTTTTGTTCATCGCATCTGTGGTGAGTTTTCTTTTTGAACAAATATTTATTTCTCGTACCGTAAATACAAGTTCTGCACATCTTACTAACCTCTTGCTGCTGTACCATACAGGAAAATGACGAAGGACGATAGTTACAAAGAAGAGTTTAGCTACGACAGGATGTCTACATTGGAACGGGGAAGACAGGAGAATGGAAGTTACACGACAGACTTCAAAGCCAGTGATCTTCAGCTGGATGAGAAATTTCATCCCTGCCTTCAGCACAAAGGATGGATCTTTAGTCTGATGATTGGGGTAATTATACCCATGTTATTTTTTGGTTAATGCAAATAAAAAAAGGAAAACATTCACATTCATAAACATATCCTACAGCAGTGCTTGTCATTAAAATTCACATTTTATACTTTATGAAGAACAGCTGTGTTATCAAATAGGAAAGGGAATTTTTAATGAACGGAAGCTTTATTTTGTAAACAATGCAAAGGAAACAACAGTTATAGGCATTAAGTGTACCTAATGATCTCTTATAGGAAATATGAGAAACAATGCAGCAACATGTTTTTGTTCTACCTAATTATTTGCGCTGTAAATGTCATTATTTTAGGAGCCATGTTATTTATAGGTCATCGTGAGCAGCGTATTCCAAAGAGGATGCTTTTATTTTGGTTCTGTTATTGAGGCAGGGGTAAATACTGCTTGTTGTTAGCAGGGGCAATGTTGTAATGATGTTACAGTGAAGTGCTACTCTATTATGAAACATTTTCTGATATTATACTCCAATAACTGTGTTACAGACCTCCCTCCTCGTAGCTGTTGGTTTTTCACTGTATCTTGGAACTGTCTTTCCCGATGAGATGGACTACCTGCGTTGTGCAGCAGGTTCAGTAAGCATCTCTTCATTGTCATTCTTTTTAGTTGGCTAAATATACAGTGAAATCACTTGAATTGTACTCAAATTGGCTGCCTCATTTTGCCCACAAAACACAGTCTCTACACTTTACAGTGCATCCTGCGAAGCGCTTTGAGACATCTGGAAGATGTGATAAGGCGCTGTATCAAATACAAGGATTATTATTGTTATTATTTACAGTACATTCTGAATACTTAGAGATGCGCTTAGAGATGTCTTGAAGATGTGATGAGGTGCTATAGCAAATGCAAGTTTTATTATTATTCTTATATTATTTTAAAAATCACTCAATCCATGACTGTTTGTGGGAAACTGCTGTCCATGATTGGCTGCCGTGTTTCACCCACAAAATACAGTCAACTCACTTTACAGTATATTCTGTGAAGCGCTTTGAGACATCTCAATGACATATTAAGGCACTATATCAAATGGAAGGATTATTATTATTAGTCTTATTCAGTAGACATCTGGAGTTATCAAGATTTTTTTACTAGTTGTAATTATTCCTTTAATGCTAATAATTTTAAAAGCGATTACAGTTGGTTGTAACTTATTAATTGTGACTTTAACCGACTGGCCTATTTGACTTTCTTTCATAGCTCGTGACAATGCGATTTGATAAATAATATATTACATGTTGAAGCTGAGTGTGCCATCTGTTATTTTCCATTTCTATTCTACATGGTTATTGAATTTTTTTTCCATTTTAAAAAGTAAAACCTCAGAACATTTACATTTTGTTATAGGAATCGGGGTGTTGAATGTCGAGGTAAGACAATCAAACCCGCTTTTCCAGTTTTATTAACCAACATTCAGGATCAAGTAATCCCGAACTAGGCATTGCAGAGTGAAACTTCGTCTAATGTGCCGGAACATCAGAAAAATCATCCCTTCCCCCATCACACAAGAGGGAATTGTGTTCTACTTCCCACACCAGCCACCCTTAAGGCCTCGCAGTGTTCTGTTGCCAAATTGTGCTGATTGAGGTCCTAGGAACTGGGTTAAGACTGTCCAAACCTCATTTTACATAGGACCATTACAGGTGGCAGAGAGATTTACATCCGACTAGTCAGGGCTGAATTTGAACCCGGGTCTGGAAGTTGGAAGGGCATTCTGCCAATTCACAGCATCATCAAAGGGGACTTTTATCTAAAATTTGAAAACAAGTGATTGCATCCCTTGTCAATTATAAATAACTCAATGGAAAACAGAAAACTCTGCACATTAAATATTCTTCTGTGATAAGCATTGTGTCAATGGTGTCCTCATGATTTAGCCAATTGGGGCCTTCTCTCTGAATTACGTTTTAAACTTACATTTTGTTTTGCAGAGTATTCCTGTGGCAATTGTCAGCTTTGCTATCGTTAAAAGCAGAGCTAATGCTGTAGGTATATCTTTGTTCCAGTATTTACATTTTTATATTTTTTGCATTTTTTATGTGTTGTTTAAAAATATATTATAACTTTCTTGATTTTTTTTCTTCAGATTTTACACTATCAGCTTCTCTTTATTGCAACATTTGCTGTCACAACAACCTGTATGATTTGGTATGGGTGTAAACTGGTTCTTAATCCGGCAGCAATAAATGTAAGTCTTCTTTTCCCTCATGTTATTCTCAAATATTACTGGATAGCATTGTTTCTTAATGAACAACAGTTTACAATATGATATAAATGGCATCTGGCACCATTATATAAGTCCATAACTAGAAGGTATAAATCCAAGATAACTAGTGGTGGGTGTAATAAGGAGTTTAGGAGGGACTTCCTCATGCAGAGGATGTTGAGAACCTCTAGAAACGGTGATTGAAGAAATATAGTAATATGTTTTTAAGATAAAACTTGATGCAAACATGAAGCAGAAGAGAATAGAGGTTTAGGAGCGGGAAATAGGAAGTGGGGGCACGTGTGGAGTATAAACACTGGCACAAACTGGTGATTTGTTTCCGTGCCATACCACTCTAAGTTAGGTTGCAGGTTACATTGTATGGGATGGTGAATTTCCTCAATAAGATCACCACAGAACCTTCTCTTCTCCAGTGTGAACATTTCCTGGGTTACGCACGATCTATTCTTCACGTGTGAGCATGAAACCAATGTAATGTTCAAGCCAGATCCTGTTTATGCCCACACTCACTTTCTGGAAGGATCACAATATTAGCAATCAGGAATTCTGGCTGAGTATCCCATTCATATCGCATTGGATCAGCTTCTGCTCTGGTTGACATCAAGTCACTCAGTGCAGACTGGGAATCGAACTTTGACCTTTTAGTTTTTATGATTTAAACCGGATAGTGTCTTTACTCATTAAACCGTTTATCATTGTTTGTAACATCTCCTGTTTAAATGTTGGTGTGTGCGTGTGTGCGTGTATGATACTATTTTTTGTTTTTGCATCTGTTTCCAGGGCACCAGTCAGCTTCCTCCATGTCCTTTAATGTGTGATGATGATGGTGTTTACTTAGACTTAGAGAATTAATATTTGCAATGTTGTTTCTGTAGTTTACTGTGAAATGAATTGTAGTGAATTCCTGATTAATTTCTACAGTTATTGTGCATTTACTTGTATTTCCTACAATTCTACAAAAAGGAAAATGCAAGTAAACAATCAGTCTGGAGCAATCTTTACCTCCATATGTTAGTGAGTTTTATGCCTTGGTTCTTGCCAATTTGTGTCTAATCTCTCAGGGATTAGGTAAACAAACTGAATCCCTTCGGGGAGAGAGGGTGCACTTGATATCAGACATATGGAAACCATATGTGGAACGCTAAGGAGTTTGGTTTTGAGACTCTGGCGTACTGATGGGTTTCAGACAAAATGGTTTCAGGATTTCTGACCACAAAGAATTAAATAATAATAATCCCTCCAAAACAAAACAATAATAAATTGGTCATTTTCAATCTACGACTGTTTGTGGGACATTGCTGTGTGCAATTGGCTGCGGCGTTGGCCCACAAATATACAGTCAATTCACTTTACAGTATATTCTGTGAAGCGCTTTGGGTCGTCCTCCCGACGTGAAAAGCGCTATATCAAATGCAAGGATTATTATTATCATAAAAGTCCATTGAATAATGCCTTGCTCTTACAAATACCAATTTAGGAATAGACACACTATGTGGAGTCCTGTGGCACCACAGACAAAGTTATAAAACCCGAGGGTTGTGGAGTGTAGCGATTAATCACTCGATCCATGACTATTTGTGGGAAATTGCTGTCCACAATTGCCCACAAAATACACACTTTACAATATATTCTGTGAAGTGCTTTCAGACATCTCAACATCAAGATAAGGTCCTATATCAAATGTAAGGATTATTATATACTATTATATTTATCTACAACCTTTACATTTGGAATAACGCTTTTCACAGCGAGAGGACGTCAAAAAGGGCTTCAAAACGTATGTTGTAAAGTGTGTTATTCACTGTGTGCTTTGTAGGTGAAACAAATAAAGCTTGAATGTTATTTTGTCAGCAGTTGCACACTGATCAAAAATTTATAGAAACCAGATGCTGCATAACAAGAATATCCACGTCACTGAATGCTTTGAAATGGCTCACTTTGGTGCAATTTTGGCTCAGGCGAGACTATAGTGATGCTAGATGGTCTCCAAACTATTCGCTTCCATCTGTTTCTGTTACTCTCCACATCATTTCCATCCATCTGTTTCTCTTCTAGACTAGCAATGTATCTCCAAATACCAGCTCTAGCATCATCCTAATTGTTCCTGGCTCTGCTACATGCCATACGTTTATTGATCCTCGAGTTTTATAACATTGTCTATGGTGCCAACGTTATGCAAATTAATTTGCCACATCTGGTTAGTAGCTAAGTTTGAACTTAAAATCATCCAGAAACACTTATTATATAACACAATTTTAGTCATGGACGTATACAGATGAAGAGGTCTGGGTCTCAGGACTCAGAAAGAAGTTGCACGGTCTCTCTGTAACTAAGTGTGGTTTAATGGGGACACGCAGGAGTTTGAATATGACATTGAGGAATGTGAAATACTGTGCATGAAATTGGTAACAACAACAACAACAAAATTACATCCCAAGGCGCTGGACAGTCAGGTAACCGTATTTAAAACAACAACGAAAACAGCTGTGAATGAATTGAATCCATTCTTAGAATAACAGAATACTATTAGCTGGGGAACACAATACAGTATGACCTACTATGATTTTATCTATATCGTGATAAGACACTATATCAATTGCAAGGATTATTATGATATCAGTGAGTAGGAATTATAAAATATTATAACGTAATTGATATGTTTACTGATCTCACTATAAAATACCAACTAAAGTTACATCGTACTGTAAAATGGTTAAATATACTCTTAAAGTGCTTCACAGATCATGTTCAGTGTTGCTATCACAGCAACAATTTATGACTGCAATGGTCCCACAAACAGCAATAAATTGAAGGATCCGTTAATCTGAATGATTGTTTGTTGGGTAGGATAACCGGTCTTGCCTTTTCTTTTCAAATTGTGTTATGGGATCTTTAACATCCCGAGGAGGATGGCTTCCCTCTTGTCCATGCTGAGCTACAAGAAATTGAGGCTCATCCAGGCCTTGATGTCTGATTGGCAAGCGTACAGAACACTAGTGGATGTAGAATCAAGCGTAGAAGAGGAAAAGTAGATTCGGGTGTTATTTGCATACATGCGGAAGTAATCCCTGTTTCTGTGGATGATATCACTCAGAGGGATCACATAGCTAAGAAAAAGGAGGTACTGAGGCTAGAGCCCTGAGGAATGGAGAAGCAACCATTGGAGGAGCCAAAGTGGAGACAAGCATTAAGTTGGATTGGAATCAGGAGAGTACAGTCCCACAAAGGTGTATGAGATAAGAGAGGAGGATGGAGTAGTCAACAATATTGAAAGTGACAGAGCAGTCAAGATTATGGTATTGGTGACTTTGACTAGAGCTTTCTTAGTGCTGTGGGTAGGGAGGAATCTGGATTGGAGCAATCAATGGTCCCAGCAAAACCGTGAAGTCCATGAGATTAGCTCAACTAATTCAAACAGAATCTATTCGACCACACAATATACAGTTAATTCACTTTACAGTAAAATCTGTGAAGTGCTTCGGGACGTCTCAAAGATGTGATAAAGTGCTTATATCAAAAGCAAGGATTATTATTATTTTTCAATCTAGCTTCTCCATCTTTACTGTATATAGCTGTTTTGTATGAACTTCAGGTCCCAAACAGTGAACTTTTTATCTTCCAAAACACCTGTATGAGCTGTTGCCAGATGGATTCAATTCAAACCAGGCATAATGTTTTCATGTGGAGGAACATTGTGACCACCTGAGTTCACAGAAACTGTACAGATGGGATCCTGCTTTGTACAGTAGAGCCCTGGCAGCCGTCCAGTCAAAACCATTCATGCAAATCTGATAAAAGCAAGTTCCCAAAACAGTATTAACAAAAGCAATTAAGGGGAACTCCATGGTTCAAACAATTTCGATATAACATCACAGGCAAAAATTCCCATCACTAAATATCATGAAAGGAGTGTCGGGGCAACAATACCCCATTCACTTCATAGCTGTTTGTGGGACATTGTTGCGTGTAAATTGGCTGCCACGTTTTCCTACATTTTCCTACACTGTGACTGCATTTTACAGTGAATCTTGTAGAGCGCGTTGAGATGTCCTCCTGACATAAAAGGCGCTGTATCAAATGTAAGGATTTTAAGGAATACTGTATTATTAAATGTAGTGACTTTGAAGATTGGTGCTTACAAAGGAAAAGTCCCATAACCAGCAAACAACAACAACTTGCACTTCTATAGCATCCTCCATGCAGGGGTAGCGCCTCAGAGCACTTAACAGTGGCGGAGCCTGACTCCGAGCCGGGGGGAGGTGGCTGTAAGCACAGTCGAAGAGGAACATTTTCAGGTGGAACTTGAAAGAGGAGAGAGAGGGGGCAAACGGAGGGATTGAGGGAGAGTGTTCCAGGGTTTTGGGGTGTAGTGGCTGAAAGGGCGACCTCCGATGGTGGAGCGGAGGATGCGAGGGACGAGCAGGAGGTCGGTGCCAGTCGAGCGGAGGAGCCGGGTGGTGGATTGGGGAGTGAGGAGGTCGGAGAGGTTGGGAGGTGCCAGGGAGTGAAGGGTTTTGAACACGAGTGTGAGGATCTTGAAGTCAATCATCATCAAAAATCATAAGATTAGGCAGCAAGAGGAATTTTACCCCCTTTAGTTCCTGTAACAAATTTATTTTCGGAATTCCTTTACAGAGGAAAAGCAAGTTCAAATCTAATTGTCGTTATGTAGAAAATAATCTTTCACAGCCTATTGTCACTACACTGATTCACACACTGATTCCACAAAAAGGGTACAATTAGGTACTGCTGTGTGTTTATTGCAGGGTTTAATTCCCAACAATATAGTGACATGGGGCTGCAAACAAATTATTTATGCTCCCCATTCCATGATTCCTTTCAGTTCTTAAAAAAAACTTCCACATTAATTTGGAAATTAAATTTCTTTAATTTTTAAAATTAATATGAATTGACAGTATATTTTACCCACAAAATATACAGTCAATTCACTTTACAGTATATTCTGTGAAGCGCTTTGAGACGTCTCAAAAAGACATGATAAGCCGCTATATCAAATCCAAGGAATATTATTATTATTTCTCAGATAAATACTCAATGTTAAGCCTGTGGTATATTCTTGGGAGTATTCCTTTAAGGGAATTCCTTTGGGAAAAAACAAGAAAAATACCCCTTTTCTATCCTTTTGTATCTATTTATGAGTGCATTATCTATTTTTCTTACAGATAAGCTTTAACTTGATTTTACTTGTACTGCTCGAAATCCTCATGGCAAGCAAGGTGATACTGTCAGCACGATCCAATACTGAATGCTGCAAGAGACAAAAGGCAAGCCTCCAACTTCACAGCTTAACAGCTTAACTTTCCACTTACAAAGATTTTACATGCATAGGAGACATAGCACGTAAGCAGGCTATTCGATGCAATCAGTCTGTGCCAGTGTTTATATTCCATATAAACATCCACTCGTTATTGTAAAATAGAATAAAAAGTCATGAGAAGTGAGAGTACATTAAATTTACATTTTCAAAACACTGAACATTTACTCAAATTATTTATGCTACACAAAATGTCTGTATTGATGTAAATGGAGGATAAAGGTGATACACTGAACTCTAAAACTGCTCAATTTCTCTCTAGATATAAAGATTTATTTTTTCATTTTAAGTTGATCTATCCTTTATAAAAATGTGTTTGCAGATTCCGCCGTTCAATGAAACCAACTTCTTGTGCCAGATTAAATTCCCTTCTCGTGTTCTGAAATCCTATTCAGTAAGTTCCTGTAACAAAAGAACTATAATGTTCTATATTTGCTGTGTAATTGTGTGATTCTCTTACCTCCTTCAAGGACCGACTCAAGATGCCTCTTCAACCATGCCTTCGGTCATCCTCCTAACCCCACCCTCCCTGCTCTCTATTCCTCCTGATCCCAAACCCAGCTTGGGTGTACATCCTTGACTGTCCAGCCTTTGGGATGTCCTCCCGATGTAAAATGTAATTTGTTGTTGTCTTTTTGAGAAACACTCATGGGGAAACTGCTGCCAAAGCAAAACCCATAGAATCTTCAAATACCTTGATAATTCCACTGGTGGTGTTAACTCTGTTCAGGGCAGGAATGGGGGAGAAAATTGGGAAAGAAAATGTAGTAAAGAAAAAAAATCCTATTCGCTGTGAGATCTTAATGAACTTCAATGTCCAATGCATCCAGTCTCAGGTTTGGACATTTCCAATGCTTCAAATGGATATAATGGGAATGAACCTGGTGAAATAATATAGTAATCATTAAAGGCTTAGTGCACAAAACACCCAGGGAAGTCATATAGGATTCATGAGAACTGTTTTAATCCCTTCTTTAAATATCTGCAGGTAGTTGAAGTGATTGTTGGAATCTCTGCAGTATTTGGTGGAATTATAGCCTTAAACATGGGTGCCTTGGTTCCTGGACCTTACCTATCTGTGACATTCTTTTGGATTTTGGCTGCTGTAAGTTACTTTTTTTAAAAAAGATTACATAGAATAGATTGAATGTTTTGCATTAGAAAATAGTGGTTAATAACTTTTGCCACAGGAGTGGATTTCATATAGATTTCATTAATCAGACCTTGGAGAATTGACCTTGATTATCAGTACAGAAAATGGCCAAATCCAGGTAATAACATGGTAAAATTAACAATAACAACAACTTGGATTTATATAGCACCCTCCACACTGGGCGTCTCAGAGCGCTTTAAAATTAAAATTACAATAACAATAACTCAAGGCAGGTTTTGGTCAAGAGAAAACAAGTGTTCAGATTTGTAGTCTTCAGATCAGCTTCATATTTAGTGCTTATGTCATTTGTGTACTAAGGAGATCGTTCAATTGAATTTCAGTCAAAAATGCATGCCCAGAGCCAGGAATAGTATGGTATGTATATGTATATACAGTACTATGTATATATTGTTCGACACAAATAGGCTATAATCTTATCTGGCTTGGCAGTGAAAGTTCAAAACAGAGGCCAGACATTTCCGAAACAGGTCCATGGATTAAGATGAAAAAATAACAAATCTTGCCATATCCTTAAGACCCTTCTTGCACACTTTCTGATAAGCAGTAAACAGTGTGGACAAAGCCTTTTTCTTTACCCAGAGCAAATGATTACTACCCGATGAAACCACTAAACCTATATAGTTCATTCCCAATGCTAAATATGGTGCTTCAACATTGCCACCGTCCTTTTTGCTGAAGAAATTGGGGAGGACAAATTTTCAGGTCTATTGGGAAACAGCGGGGGAGCGGGATTAATTTGGATAGCTGTTTCAAAGAGCCAACACAGACACGATGAGCCAAATGGCCTTCTTCTGTGCTGTATGATTCTATGAAGTCTGAACCATGTTTATTGAAATGATCTTAATGCTCCAGTGGTTGATAAAGAAGTGGCAAAACCTGCCTGATGATAGGGATAAACTCAGACATTAGTCAACGTTGCACTCATGATCTGTGAGTTGTGAGCTGTGAGTACAGAAGCCATACTCCAAAAGCTTCTTCAGAATCCTATCTCTTCGACTGTGTTTCCGGTCACTTTTTCGCTTCCCTCGCTTGAGCTCCCAGTCAATTGTGTGAAACACTGAGACATCATCCCAATATGAAAGACACTATATAATTGGAAATTGTCATTGGCTTTTTAGTGCAGCATTGTAAACCCAAAAAATATTTTCTAAGGATTACATTATTTTTGGAATGATTTGATAACTATGTTGTGCCCAGTATACTTACGTAACTGTCTTAATTTTTCTCACAGTGTTTTCCCGGTGCTATCGCTAGCCATGTGGCAGCAGAATATCCCAGCAAGTTTTTGGTATGTCTGTAAAAAATGTTGATGCATTTTTAATAGGAAACACACTTGATTCTCATTAGGAGATGTTTGTTGGGAACCAACAATTTTACATATTGTAATGAGGTGCGCAAGACAGTGATTGTCCTGCAACATGATAATGGTGAATGCTGATACATGACAGCCTCAAAAATGATGTTCTATCTAACAAATAACCTCCCAATCAATAATAGAAGGGTGCATATAAAATCTCAAATATTACATCAAAAAAAGTTTATAAAACTCGAATTTAAACAGTACTGACTTCAGGTATTTCTTCTTTTGCAGCGAGCTGCTATTGGAAACATACAGCAATTCAAATCCTTTATTTTAAAGTGAATCGGGTGAAAATTAAATAATTTAAGGATACTGATGGCGAGATCCCTCTAATTTCAAGTGATGATGTATTGGTTCCTAGTAGTCATAAACTTTTTTTGGTCAACTACGTGGTTGACACATGCGGAAAACAATCTGTATTTTTTTGTTTTTTTGGTCAGCTGGGTGACACAAGTGAAAACCCATCACCGTGCTTAAAAGTATCCAAACCAAGCTGAGATTTCTATGTATCCCACCTTCACATGGAAATCCCAGAGATGAATTATTGGAATGGAATATGCACTCTCTTCCTGGAGGGACACATCCTGCTTACCTAATTCCAGGCGCAATTTGGGAAGAGTGTGCGTTGGGGTACTGTTGGAGTTTAACCGGCTGAAACTGCACAGCTTGCCATTGATATCGCTGTCGGCAAGTTTTCCTGCTGCTTGTCCAGCTAGGACCACCCTACCCATTAAGGCTTTGGCTTGCAGGTTTAGCAAGAGCTGAATGGGACGATTCCCAGCCCCCAGTCTGCCTTTACAGGTCAGGCCAATGAGCCAGGACTGTCAACAGTGCCCTGGAATACTGCGGGTCCGCCCGGCTTAGGAACCGGACTACCGAGACCGTCACAGAGAGCTGACTCGATTCTGACATTCCGTTGCCAGGCATCTCACCTTGGAGCCAGTTCAGCTCCAAGGAGACGCCGCTTACCTCATCCCTCCAAGGAGGATAGAGGTATGGGGAAGGACAGATAATTGGGATGGACTGAAAGAATTCCTTTTAAAATAACTACCACACACAAGATGGTCCGAAAGGCCTTCTTTTGTATTATAAATCAAATTCAAGGAATATTATTTTTATTGATTCCAAATATTTTTGTTTAGATTGAAGTCCTAATTGCCATAAGCAGTGTGACATCTCCAATGCTGTTTGCAGCCTCTGGATATTTATCTTTCAGCATCATGAAGTTTGTTAACGTCTTTTTGCACAATTCACCAAGTTTACATGTAAGTATTTATCGGTTTTCAAAATTAGTTAGTCTTTTTTGATGTTCTGTTTGCGCAATTAGTTGCATAAGCCATTTAGAAACACTAAGCTGTAACTCAGGTAAAATTCAAGCACTTTACTCACGGAAACTCTCCAGCTTGAATTCTTAAGTCATTTTCAGACTAATACAGAACACAAATTATAACACAAATTTGCGTATAATAATACTAATCTTATAATGTGATTGGGTTGTGCCCTCCGACGTTTTCTTACCAGTAATTCAAAATCTTGCCATTCAAATCCCATTATCGCTAAAATATGATTGACTTGTGGGTTGCCAGGTTGTCAAGAATGTTACTTCCTGCATTGTGCTCACAGAATACAACTACCAAAAGATTACATTTGTATAACGCCTTTTACATCGGGAGGACGTCCCAAGGCACTGGACAGTGTACAGCATTTCAGACCCGAGCTGGGGTCAGGGGGGAGAGGGAAGGGGAGGGGAAGGGGGGTGACCAATGGCTGGTCGAAGAGGAGGGTTTTGAGGCGGGACTTGAAGGAGGCTAAGGAGGGGGCAAGGCGGAGTGACTAGGGGATGGAATTCCAGAGGTTGGAGGGCAGAGTAGCTGAAGGCTCTCCCGCCAATCATGGGGCGGGTGGGTTGGAGGACATGGAGCAGGCTGGAGCTGGCTGAGCAGAGGGAACGGGCGGGTTGGGAGGAGGTTAGGAGGTCACAGAGATAGGGTGGAACGAGACCATTGAGGGCTTTGTAGGTGAGGACCAGGATTTTGAACTGGATTCTTTGAAGGATAGGGAGTCAATGGAGTTGGGAGAGAATGGGGGAGATGGGGTCATGGAGTTTGGTGTGGGAGAGGACACGGGCTGCAGAGTTCTGGATTATCTGCAGTCTGTAGAGGGAGGAGTTGGGAAGGCTGACAAGCAGGGCATTTGCATAGTCGAGCCTGGAGATGATGAAGGCATGAACAAGAGTTTCAGCGGCCTGAGGGGTGAGATAGTGGCGGAGTCGCGCGATGTTACGGAGGTGAGGGAAGGCAGAGTGGGTCATGGCTTGGATGTGGGGAAGAAAAGACAGTTGAGGGTCGAACAAGACACCTGGGTTCCTGACTGGCTTGGTGAGTTGTAGTTTGCAACAATGGAGGTTGATGCTGCCAGAGCCTAAGGTGCAGAGGCGCTGACGTGAGCCAATCAGGAGGGCCTCAGTCTTGTTCACATTCAACTGTAGGAAGTTTGCCCTCATCCAGGACTTGATGTCCGACAGACAGTCTGTCAGGACAGCAGTGGTCTTGGAGTTGAGGGTGGAGGCAGAAAGATAGAATTGGGTGTCATCCACATACATATGGAAGTTGACCCCATGTCTGCGGATGATGTCACCAAGGTGGGGGCATATAGATATTAAAGAGGAGAGGGCCAAGGACAGAGCCCTGGGGGACTCCAGATGTGACAGTGCGGGGGCTGGAGAAGAAACCGTTAGAGGCAACAAAGTGGAGACGGTGCGAGAGATAGGAATTGAACCAGGCAAGGGCAGATCCGTGAAAATTAAGTAAGGAGGAGAGGCGGTGTATGAAGGTGGAGTGGTTGATGGTGTTGAAAGCAGCAGAGAGGTCGAGGAGGACAAGGAGACAGAGGGAGCCCTGATCACAGATGTTCAGAATGTCATTAATGACTTTGACCAGGGCTTTTTCTGTGCTGTGGGCAGCGCGGAGACCGGATTGGAGGGGTTCAAAGAGGGAATGGCGAGAGAGAAAGGAGCAGAGCTGGCACGCGACGACTCGTTCCAGGACCTTGGAAAGAAATGGGAAGTTAGAGATACAATACAATACAAACTACATTTATTTAGTGCCTTTCACATCAGGAGGAAATCTTAAAGCATTTCACATTGGGCACCCAAGATAACAGTGGGAACCGAGGTGGTTAGGAAGGAGAAAAATGACTGATAACATGGTCGAAGAGATAAATTTTGAGATGTGGCTTGAAAGAGGGTAGGGAGCGAATGAGTTGGAAGATCTATGGGATAGAGTTCCAGAAGGCAAGCAGGATGGCTGAAAGCCATTTGCACCATGTGCAAGGAGCGCTGCGAACGACAATTCCTGCACACTGCGCATGAGAGTTTTGCCTGAAGGAAGTGACATCAGCAGTGCTTCTTGCGTATACAACACACGCATGAAGCACAGGAAGCGATGTGAGCGGTTCTTTCTGAGCATAGTGCGGATGTGTGCAATGTGCAGGAAGTGATATAGGTATTGAACATTTTGCGGTACCTCTTTCTAATGCAGGGCTTGAGACATTGGACCGAGATGACCATATTACAACAGTTTACCTTGTACCTTCATTGTTTGGCACCAGGTTCTGATTTGGGCTGGAGAGAAAATGATCATGCAAAAGCTTCAATTTGTCGACTACTAGCCTGCAATTCGTGATACATAGATTGCAAATAAGTTCAATGAACAATGTGTAAATTCTTAATCGTTTCCTGGCATATTTTACCTAATTTTGTTATTTCAGCAATCGTACGATGTGCTGGTTCTCATTCTGATGATTTTGTTGCTGATTCAGTCCTGCCTCACACTTGCCACTGTCATCCACTGTGTAAACTACAAGATTAAAATGAAGTACTATGATTCAACATGGAATATTCCAGACATCTCCAGGCACAACTCCAGGACAGTCGAGGCAAGTGACCAAAACCATAAGACAAATTGCCCAAAGCTGCTTTTCCAGTCTAGACATTTTGTGTATTTTGTTTCCTCTCCAGAAATGTTTGGATGATGAGTTTATATCAGGTAATGACATTTTGTGATAAAATCAATTTTAAAAAAAACTTACACCACATCTTTATTTGGAAGTCTGTGTCCCCACTGACCTTAAAAACAGTTTCCAAATTAAGACTAAATTGAAGAATTTTCCAGAACTCTGTGTGATATTAAATTTTAAGATGGTCTTATAGGCTAAGCTCGGTGGAATTTCAGTCCTTGAATGACTGATTAATGAGAGTTTTGATACAATGCGGAGACTGGAAGATCATGGAATCTGTCCCACTGATACTGAGCCAATTTAGATGCAGGTACAATTTCTCCTACACATGACCTGCAAATTGTGTTATGAACGTAATATATAGGAGAGTAAAAGACCAATATGTCTAACAAGCCACATATTTAGAAAATAACAGTTCAAATCATTCAGGCTGAGGTGCAGCTGACAAATTTCACTAATTATTTTATTTAATAACTGAGGAACAAGACACACAACTTGATCTTCGTTAACTCATTGATATGTTAAATAATAATAATAATAATCCTTGCATTTGATATAGCGCTTTTCACGTCGGGAGGACGTCCCAAAGCGCTTCACAGAACACACTGTAAAGTGAATTGACTGTATATTTGTGGGCGAACGCGGCAGCCAATTGCGCACAGCAATGTCCCACAAACAGTCGTAGATCGAAAATGACCAATTTATTATTGTTTTTTAGTTTTGGAGGGATTATTATTAGGCGTGTGGAGTAAGGAAACTTGCCCAAGGTTTCGCCCTGCCTGGAATTGAACTCAGGTCTCTCGCTTGCAAAGCGAGTGCTCTAACCACTGAGCTACAGGACTCCAAATGTTGCCAAATTGAGCCAAACACGCTCGTCCCAATTTCCTTCTTAGCTGATATCATACATTATAATTTACAGCTCCGAAACTGGCCTTCGGCCCAACTGGTCTATGCCAGTGATTATGCTCCACATGAGCCTCCTCCTGCCCTTCCTCATCTAAGCCTTCAAGCATAACCTTCTATTCCTTTCTCCCTCATGTACCTATCTAGCTTCCCCTTAAATACAACTAACTGTTATATCATCTGGAGTAGCCATAGGGATCTTATAGTCTCCTGGATTAGGGAGCGTGAAAAATCAGCCATGATTTGCAGTCCTTAAGATTGTGCAGAATTTTCCCCCCCAAATTCTCTATTTTATTCTTAAATTGGAAATTTCATAGATCCATAGAAAGCTCAGAAACAGACAAAATGGCCTAGCCAGTCTGGCCGGTGCTTATATTCAACATGAGTGCCCATCCTTTATCCCGTGTTCGGGCTCTTCACCCATATCCCTGAACTTTATTCTCCCTCAACTATGTGTTCAGTATTTTTTTTCAATGTGCACATGGTTGCCACCACAACAACTGACTGTAACAGATAATGTCATACTCCCACCATTCTCTATGTGAAGAAGTTCCTCCTAATCTCGAAATTCCGGGTTTTTAAAAAGAACTGTGGAAAAAATCTTAAATTTTAGAATCTTTGGACCTTAATTGCTATTCAGTGACCTACCTGGAAATGTATGGATATTGGGTGTTTGCGCCCATGATTAAAAAAGCTGTTGACTTTTACTTAATGTTTACACATGAGTAACGAACTGTGAATCCTGGTTGATTTTTCACACTCCCTAATCCAGGAGACTACAAGGTCCTTATCGCTACTTCAGATGACTCATGGAGTCCTGTAGCTCAGTGGTTAGAGCACTCACCTCGCAAACGAAAGACCTGGGTTCAATTCCCGGCACGGCGAAATGTTGGGCAAGTTTCCTTACTCCACAATCCTCTGTTTACTAACTAGTAAGTAGGAACCTGGTTGTTAATCGATTGACTGATCGCTTTTCTGATTTTTTTAAAAGTTTTTTTTAAAAAAAATAATAAGAATAATGAATTGGTCACTTCAATCTATGACTGTTTGTGGAACACTGCTGTGTGCAGTTGGCTGCCGCGTTTCGCCCACAAAATATACAGTCAATTCATTATACAGTACATTTTGGGAAGCCCTTTGAGACTTCTCGAAGACGTGATAAGGCACTATATCAAATGCAAGGATATTATTATTATAATATTATTATGAATAACGGCCAATTAAGCAAAGTACTGTTTGGCACCAATGGAATCATATTAAGATGGTTTGTTTTTCTTCAATAGGCATCCAATAACCCAGCGAAGGAGTTTGACAAAGACAAGGCATGGAAGGCTGTTATGGTACAGATGGTGCAATAACAACTACTTCCTGGATATCTTTCAATAATAGTACCAGCCTTTGACATGCACATTATTTATCAGACTGCCGATTTAGAACTCTGCATATTATCCAACTTTAAAAGCTTGCGCAAAACATTGTACATAATACTACTTTTTGTTGTGATTGGATATGTTCTAGGACATGAAACTGCATTTTACAAATTAATCTAATTTTTAAAAAAAATCTGTTTCATTTGAATTAACCATTTATAAACCAGATTTTACGACAACGGGCTCTATTTTACGGTATTCCTTGATGGGATTCCTTATTAAAGGAGAAGATAAGTGACACAGTGTAGGATTCCTTCTCGTAACTGTGTGCGCATCACACCCACCGACAGGAACTCCACCCCCTCAAATGATCTACTTTTGGAGCTGAGTTCTTGTGGATTGAAGAGATTTCTAACTAGATTCTATTAAGGAATACCTTTAAGAAATACTGCAAGTTAAACTCCAACATGTTGCTTTTATTGATGCAATTAACTGATCATTTTGACTGTGTGTTACTTTCAGAAATTTTAACACACAATTTACAGGTACATATTTGGCTTAATTGTGTAGAAAATAAATAATAAAGCTTGGCAATAGCAAAGAGAGCTTAATATTTTACCCAACTGGACTGATCTTCCTCACCCAACAGTAAACCTAATAGTTTTTTGATATAACTTGTTCAATAATAGAGTTTATTGTTGTGTTTGTACTGGGCAGAATTAAGGGTTTTCAAAGCATTCACTGGTCGCTGACCCAGGAGTTAACATGCAACAAATTCTCACTGAAGAAGATATTACTGATGCGTTTCAGATCAATTCTTCTGTATGAGCTGTTGCTGTCAAAATCTCTTGAGTTTACAACAAGGAATTGGGGTTATTAGATTTAGAGATCGAGAGACCGAATTCAAAGGAATTAATGGGAAAAAGAAAGAAGAACTTTCATTTTATAGTGCGTTATCTGGTAAATTGAAAATGGGTCATTGTACAAGAGAATGAATTTTCATTGAGAAAGCAAAAGTGGTTTTGTTTAACCTGAACTGAATGGCTGCCACATTTTCCTGCAGAACCAGGGTATCCGGGATGAGGGACTTTAGTTACGTGGAAAAACTAGAGAAGCTGGGATTGATCTCTTTCGAGCAGAGAAGGTTAAGGGGAGATTTATTAGAGGTGTTCAAAATTATGAGGGATTTTGATAGAGTAGATAGGGAGAAACTGTTTCCAATGGCAGGTGGGTCAGTAACCAGGGCACATAGATTTAAGATAGTTGGCAAAAGAACCAGAGAGAAGAATTTTTGAAGAGAGGTAGATGAGGAGATTTTTTTTCACATAGAGAGTTGTTATGGTCTGCAATGTTCAGCCTGAAAAGGGGGTGGAAGAAGATTGAATAACAACTTTCAAAAGGGAATTAGATAGGTACTTAAAAAAGTAAAAATTTGCAAGGGTATGGGGAAAGAGCAGGATAGGTAGCTCTTCCAAAGAGCCAGCGCAGGCACGATGAGCCGAATGCCTTCTTCTGTGCCGTAATAGTTTTTGATTCTATGAAAACAAATCTACAAAAATTGTTATGCAGCTTTTTGAGAAATCTTGTTGCATAAGGTTTGGTAACACTGATTGTTTTCAATCAAAAGACTGAGGGGGATATAATTCAGATATTAAAAATGTTACAAGATAAATGCAGGGGATATGACATCCTTTGGGGTTGGGGGGGGAGGGTGGTGGATGGGGAGGGAGGGAGGTAAATGGGGTATTCTTGGAGCTGAGCTGGCTGCAAGGTGACGTGCTTGGGCAAGGGGATGTCAGATCCGAGACCAGCCTTTGTGGTACCTGAGCCAGGTGAGTTTGCAATGCTTCAGGGCACTGCTGGTGATTTGGTTTATCAGAAGGACTTGGAGGGGCAGATAGATCATTGGGAGTAGCAATTCTTACCACCTATCAATACTGCAAGCCAAAGCCCTAAAGGATAGGGTTGTCCAAGCTGGACAAGCAATATAAAGCTTGTCAGATAGTGCTCTCAATGTGATATTATGTGGTTGTGCTCCACCGGTACCCTAATGAGCACTGGTGTCCTCAAGGCTTGGCTCTTGCCAACCTGCGCCATTACTGTCTGGGATCAGGAAAGCAGGGTGAGGCCCTCCAAGGAGAGAGTGCACATTGCATTTCAGACACAGGGAAACCTCTGTCCGTAGCTGGCATACATTTGTGGAATTCTCATTCCAGACATGGTGATCGATGTTCGTGTGTCAGACACTCGGCTGGACAAAAGGAAACCTGAATTAGACTGAGAGCAAAACTGCAGAGTGTGTTCTTAAAATTTAAATTGCTCAAGTGGGAATAATTATCAGAAAACATTTCCTGGCAGTGTTTTATCTCCGGAATAGTCACTGAATAAATGCACCTGTAATTGGTGCTCTCTGATGCAATTGAAGGGGTAACAATGAAACCACTGTATCTTTTCATCAGTGACAGCTGAGGTTGGCGAACAGATGCAAAATGTACAAATGGGTGAAAGGTTTTTCTTAAAATAAAGTTGCATGCGAGGGTGAAATATTTTCTAAGGATTTCAGACTGTGACGCAAACTATCACCTCCTTGGCTTACAGACATAACATTAAGTATTTAAAGCCTCCCTCAACCTTGGGCTTCTATTACATTGACAGGTTCTTGGTCTGCCTGCAATAGTTAGATTAATATGGTCTGGCGAAAGCCTTTGACTGGGTTACAAATTTGTAGAATATTAAACGTCAAGGAGAACGAAGCTAAACTTTTGGACACTGCGCCAATGAACGTTAGTTAGTTGCTAAGTCGATAAACAATCCGTGGGTCATTTCTAAATCTTTATGGGCCATACTGTTCTTAGATAAATGTGTGGAGTAAGTCAGGCTTGCAATGCTAAGTAACCACTGCTCAGCTCGTCAGCATCTTTTGTTCTGTTTTTTTTGTTTGAACATCGCTTTCAAAAGCCTCTTCATCTCTTTGGAAACCAAAAGTAGACAAATCTTTGTGCCAGTTCTTTGGAACAATCTGTTCTGCAGCTATAGCAACACAATATTTTCATTCAAAGATGCAACTCTGCATTCGTATCTCTTGGTTCTCAGCTTTCGTTTGACCTATCTTTCCTTAAGTGTTTAATACTGTAACTTACAATTGTGATATATTTCTATCCAAGTGGATTAACCAGACCAGTGAAGATTTTACAAGGAAGAAATTCCTCTCGCTGCTTAAATACAGCAACTTTGGTATCATCAACAACAAGCCCCCAAAGGGGGAGGGAAGAGGGGGGAAGGAGGTGAAAATAGGCACACCTGAATAGGTTTTAAGGTGGGACTTGAAATCAGATAATAATAATATTCCTTGCATTTGATATAGCACTTTTCACATCTTCTAGACGTCTCAAAGCGCTTCACAGAATATACTGTAAAGTGAATGGACTGCATATTTGTGTGCGAAATGCGTGGATTGAGTGACCAAATAATTATTTATTTTTTGAAGGATTATTACCCCTGGACAAGCGATACGCCAATTGACTAACAACTGTGTTCCTACTTACTGCTTGGTAAACAGGAATGTGTAGAGTAAGGAAACTTGCCCAACATTTTGCCCTGCTGGGAATTGAACCCAGGTCCCTCGCTTGAAGGTAGGAGAGGGAGTGGGGTAAAAGGAAGTCTGAGAGATAGGGAGCTGCTAGGGCATGAAAGGTAAGGACACTGAAATTGAATCGTAACATGTATAATGGAAAAAATATCTTGAGTCCACTTTTTCATTTGATCAGAAGAGCATTGGCGATCGGAGAACAAGTTTGTTTATAACAGATTTGCACCTATATATAATATATATATACACAATACAATTTATATTTCTATAGCGCCTTTCATATTGAAAGAACATCTCAAAGCGCTTAACAATGAGGATGGGCACCTAAGCTGGAGGTGGAAACTGAGGGAAAATTTGGCTAAAGTAAGGGCAGAGGTATGTTTTGAGACATGCCTTGAATGAGGAGGAAGGATTGTGGGATGGAGTTCCAGGGACCAGGGACAGAATGGCTGAAAGCCCACCCACCGATGGTAGGGTAGATTGGGTCGGGGACATGAAGCAGTATTCAGTATTCAATGAGTGAAGGAAGCAGCCGGGTCGGTGGTGTTGGTGGAGTTTCAGAGGTAGGGATGGGGATGGGACAATACCAACAACAACAACAACAAGATTCCATTTATAGAGCGCCTTTCACGTCAGGAGGACGTTCCAAGGCGCTGCACAGTTGGGTCATGACCCGAGCAGGGGGGAAATGGTCAGGGTGAGGGGAGGGAAGGGAGGGAGAGAGGAGGGGGGAAATGGTCAGGGTGAGGGGAGGGAAGGGAGGGAGCGAGGAGGAGGAAGAGAGTCGAGAGGGGAGCTGAAGGCACGGTCAAAGAGAAAGGTTTTGAGACCGGCCTTGAAGGAGGAAAGGGAGGAAGCAAGGCGAAGGCACTGGGGGATGGAGTTCCAGAGCCTGGGGGCTGAGAGGCTGAAGGCCCGACCACCGATAGTAGGGCGGTTGGGGCGGGGGACGTGGAGCAGACCGGAGCCAGAGGAACGGAGGGTACGGGCAGGTAGGTAGGGGGATAGTAGGTTGGAGAGGTAGGAGGGAGCAAGGCCGTGAATGGCCTTGTAGGTGAGGATGAGGATCTTGAAATCAATCCTCTGGGGGATGGGGAGCCAGTGGAGGTGAGCGAGGGTGGGAGTGATGTGGTCGCGAAGCCTGGTGCGGGACAGTACACGAGCTGCAGAGTTCTGAATGACCTGCAGCTTGTGGAGGGAGGTGGCGGGAAGGCCGGCGAGGAGAGAGTTCCCATAGTCCAGCCTTGAGGTGACAAAGGCGTGAACCAGGGTTTCAGCAGCGTGAGGGGTGAGGTAGTGCCGTAATCTGGCGATATTCCGGAGGTGATGGAAGGCGGTGCCAGTTGTGGTGCGGATGTGAGGGAGAAAGGACAGCTCAGGGTCGAACAAAACGCCGAGGTTCCTGACTGGCTTTGAGAGGTGGAGAGTGCAGCCTTGGATGCTGATGGTGTCAGCGCCTGAGGTGCGGAGGCGCTGACGTGAGCCAATCAGGAGGGCCTCGGTTTTTCGCACGTTGAGCTGAAGAAAGTTGTCTCTCGTCCAGGACTCGATGTCGGACAGGCAGGCTGTCAGGACATCGGTGGTCGTGGAGTTGAGAGTAGAGGAGGAAAGGTAGAGTTGGGTGTCATCCGCATACATGTGGAAGTTAACCCCATGTTTGCGGATGATGTCACCAAGGGGGAGCATATAGAGGGTGAAGAGGAGGGGACCGAGGACAGAGCCCTGAGGGACACCACATGAGACAGTACGGGGGGTGGAGGAGAAGCCATTCGTTGAGACGAAGTGAAGACGGTGGGAAAGGTAAGAGCTAAACCATTCAAGGACAGTGCCTTGAAGGTTGAGGTGGGAGGACAAGCGGTGGAGTAGGATAGCGTGGTCGACCGTATCGAATGCTGCCGATAGGTCGAGGAGGACGAGGAGACAGAGGGAGCCCTGGTCACAGATGGTCAGGATATCATTGGTGACCTTGACCAGGGCAGTTTCTGTGCTATGAGCAGCACGGAAACCTGACT